CCTTCTGATGTTTAGCCAGCAAACCAGAAATCATCTCTTGTTGTTTTAGACTAAACTGCTGTGGATCTAACGGTACAGCAACAGGCCATGGCATCTGCACTTGTTCGTCATCCTGCACTCTATTTTGTCTCACGCTTACCTCCACAGTGTCATCATCTAATGATCTTAATTCCACATTTCCTTGCAGGCCAGAAGAACACAACTCCACATCTGAAAGCTGTCCAATCCGGCAGCGTTGGGAGAGGATCACAGCCACTGGGGACAGATTAAGAATTCTAACCATAACCCTTCCCTTTGAAACTGTACTCAACGATCGGGCTACCAATAACTGCCCTGGCAATACATCTGGACATGGTTCTACCAAACCCACATAATCCCTCTTATCAGGCCGAACCCGTGCACATGCCTCGATCACCATCTCTGACTGTGGTGGTATTATTTTTTTCCTTCCCTGGGGCCAGTAAATTGAACTTATCTGCCCCGACTCGTCAGCAAAATGTAATAAATCTTCACACACAGAAAACATCTGGCGCCATACTTTAACTTGTACTTCACTTTCTGAGCCTAGGTAATCATCTCCAGTTTTTGTCATTAAAAATTCTCTACATTCCTTAATTACATTCATGCCAATCAACCCTGGATATGATGATCCGTTTGAATCTTTGACAATAAGCACGCCCCTTTTTGGTATGACTTTGCCACAAATATTTAAATCCACCTCAATGTAGCCAATATACGGGATGACTAACCCATTAGCAGCCACTAGGTTAAATTTTTGAATGGGTGGATACACCATTGGCCCTTCGGTCTCGAAATGTTTCTTAAAATAACTTTCAGTCAATGTGGTTACCTGCGAGCCAGTATCAATTAAGCAAGATGTTTTAACTCCTTGTATTTCTACCTGCACGACTGGACATTGTCCTATTAGGTGATCTTTCTTTTCTAATTGGCCACTACTTGATGTACCCACCGTTTGGGCCTGTACAGTGGGCTCTATAAGTTTAAAGGCCCTTGTGGTCCTTCTACAGTCCTACAACGTCTTTCAATATGACCCACTTGTTTACAACGCCGACAAATAGGTCTTCCCTGATGGTCGAATTGATCAGAACTTCTTCGACCCCCCATCAACTCATACCTAGGTCTAACACCCTCACTCTTAGGCCACATATTCTGTACTCCTTCACGGACTTCACTCATCATTCCAGCTACTATTTCTTTTATTTCTCCTTTCAGCTGCAAAAATACCTCCTGTTTAATTTCCTCTACCAATTTGGTTGTATCTAGAGTTGGTTTCATTTGTACGGTTGCAGCTACTGCTTGCCTTACCTCTCCAAACGCATCTGCTTGTAGGATGGCTTCTCGTTTAATATCAACAAAAGCAATATCTGACGATGCTCTTACCATACCCTGAAGTTCCCTCCGCAGTCCGGCATCAAAAAGTCCCAAAATAAACTGATCCCGTAACACATAGCCTCCAGTAGTGTGATCTCCCCTACTCTCCAACCTATTACTTAATTCCTGAAGTACTAATGCAAACTGTCTCACACTCTCATCGGTCCTTTGTTTACGAGTAAAAAATTGGGAACGAAGGGTTGCAAGAGGGACTGTATCCCCATAATTATTTTTCAAAAATGTCAATATCTGTCCTGATGTTACACGCTCTGCTATCGGCAAAGCTAACACTTCCCTCTTCGCTTCCCCATCTAAATTACTTATTAAAGCTGAAACTTTTTGAGCCTCTGAAAAAGGGTACATATCAAACATTGATTTTTGCATATTATGCCAATCCTGAAAATTATTCTCCTGTGCCGTTTTCTCCCCACTAAATTTTTGACACCATGGTGTCCCCATCATCAAAGGAAACATAAGCATGGCTTGATTCTGGGCTATATTAGGTGAGCTATCAGCCCCCTGCTGCTGCTCACCAGATGTAGAAGGTGACTGGTCTAACTGTTGTGTGGTTGACATTTTCCTGATTGTTGCCCAAAGTCCAGACTGCCAAAACTACGCCAAGTTGTAACCCTCCCAAAAAGGGCATAAAGTATTCACACACACAACACAAGTTCTTTGCTGGACAAAATACAGTATTTATTTTGGGCCACAATAATCAAGTAAACGTCAAACACTCAATTCATTTAAATACTAATTTCACTTTTATTTTATACAATAATCTTAAAGATTAAAATTCCACACAAGGGGAGCAGCAGGTAGGGAATCAAAAGGACATAAAGTTCATGATGTAAAGATTGTTAGCGGACTGTATAAAAATTATTAGGTAAGGCAATTAAAATGACCACCACAAGGCATTTAACAAGGGGTATCAACCGTAATTGTGCAACACATCATCATTTCACACCAACCTAGAGTTGTAATACACCACACAGTAAATCTCATAAATATAAATGTATAAATAACACCCATAAATAGACTCCACACAGCAATCAAATCATAAGCTACCATCAATACCACTCCAGCTAAATATCAAGCCGTCGTCATTTAACATTTCCTGTATGGAGCGTGATGCTAGCCTGCGCTCATCCCCGTCACACGCACGCACGCACGCACGCACACACACACACACGCACGCACACACGCACAAACAGACAGACTACAAGCGCCGGGAGCAATCAAACTCACTCAAACTCCCGGCGAACAAAATGCAATACACACACCCCGCAACAGTATTGTGCTGCTGGCCCGCTTACCCGCTACCGGACGTGGGATACAGCGATTGGAAGTCAACAGCGGCCGCCGAAACTTTAGTCCGGGGAAACCCCAGCACTACCAATTATCCCTCCCAGTCATTCGCTCGCGCACAACATCATGCCCACGTCCCGGCACGATAGCCTTGGCCAGCGGCTCAGCAGCACCTGCAATCAAAAACCAAGAAAAACCCCTCCTGACCCAGAAACTACAATCGCTTTTAAAGGCTTGGACTCATTACAAATTGAACTCAGCTGTTCATCTCCTGGAAACGTCATAGACGCAAATGACGCCAGTACGCATCATTTTGGTTTGGGAAGCACCGCTTACACAAGCAGTTTGCGTATCTGTGCGTAAATCCTTCAGGGACGTCCTCCTGAAGTAAATTATCGGATTCATTATCAAGTAATCAGTACTAGACAAACTTGAAGACACAGTTATTAGCCCTGCAGTGAAATTTAAATAGTTTTTCGAATATTTTCAAGTGATGTTAAACATAATTTTTATATTTTATCTTTTTATTTTGCCTTTGTGAGGGTGAAAATATAGTTATTTAGCTATAAGTGTGTTATAGTCATTTGACAACATGTGGTTTGTTCTGTTACCAATTGGTGGAAAAAAATCAGGGCAAATAGTTGTAAGAGTTTATTTTATTCCAGCCAAACTTAAAGAAATAAGCCTTTCTCCAGATATAATAGGAAGCACTGTGAAAATGTCCTGTGCTCTGTTAAACATCACTTGTGAAATATTTGGAAAGGAATTTTAATTTCACGGGAGGGCGAATAATTCTGTCTCTATGTGAGAATAATTAGAATTGAAATAATCGATATTTGATATTGAAGCTGTTCTGTTTGTTTTTAGGAATATGTTGGCAAAGTTTTAAAAATTAAATATCAAGATGTCTGAAATGGCCAATCAAATGACAGAAGACAGTCAGCGTCACTTATCTCTATGCAGTCTGTAGGCGTTCTTCTCAAATTTCATCATCTTTGAACCGAAAGTTTTGAATGAATTATCAATGTGATTCGTGTACTTCATAACCGAATGTGACAAGAAACATTTGCCATTTTGCGTTTTCAACATGTCTTGAACACTTTCACATGCACTTATTCATAGTTTAAAATAGCTGAAATAGATTACAAAATTATGTTTCTTAAAATCTGTGTGAATGTAATTAAACTTGGCCATTCAGTCATTTTCCCGTACATTTGTTCTTGTTTCACTGTGATTTACATCACAAATTACGGTTTCAAATTCTGTTTCAAGCCCACTTTACAACTGATTGCATTGCTTAATTATTGTCATTGCAAAATCAGATTACTTAAGTGCCAAATTGTCATTTTCATTACTGTAATGCAAGTTTTAAAAAGGTATACGGTATTGTAAAAAGGAAAGGTATTGCAGTTTAAAAATATACTGTGCTATTTACAGTAACTTACTAGCAATTTTGGTTGCCAATAAAACTGTAAATGTACAAGTACAATGCAATTAACAATTACAATTTACTGTAAAATTTAAAGTAATTTACTGCTGGTTTTAGTTGCCAGTAAGACTGTAAATTTACACGTGCACTGTAAATTAATAATTAAGACTGCAATGTAAAATACAGCACAGTTGTAATTTTTTATTTACATTGTGCTTGTAAATTTACAGTGTTACTGGCAACCAAAATCGACAGTAAGTTACTGTAAATTTACAAGTGCACTGTAAATAAATAAATAAATAATGCAATTTAAAATACAGCACAATTGTACTTATTTACATTGTGCTTGTAAATTTAGTGTTAATGGCAACCAAAACCGACAGTATTTTGTAAGACAGTGTGTCTTTATGCCATTTTACTATTTCAATTTCATCATAATAATTTAATAATTAAATTAACAAGTTTTAATTAACAAAGTTAACAAGAATTTAACACATTTTATTTACCAAATTTGCAAAATCTTTCATTTTAAAAATAATAAATGGCTTTTAAATGAACATTTTAACGTGTTAAAATTTATTTAAAAATAAATGCATAATGACACATTTTATTTCGAATAATAATACAAAAAATTATAATGATATAATATTATTATTATTAATAATAATAATACCAATAATTAAAAACACCAAAATAGTGTTAATTTAAATAGGAGGATTTAAAAATAAATTTTACACCAAAATAGTCAAAAAAAAAAAAACTCTATAAATATTTCTAATTCTGATACATATTGTAATTATATATACACACACACACAGCATAATTTTATTTTTGCAATAAAACCACCCAACTTAAATGCAACAAAAAGTCAACATTTCTGTGTTTATTATCCTTTATTTAATCTATATTTAAAGAGCCAGTGCGTGTTACCTTTCAAACAGAATCAATCACGTCATTCTCACAATCTGAACATGATTCAGCTGGTACAATTTGCATCCTAAATGTCAACGTCTATTTTCCATCAGAGACATCAGTGTGCAGTGCATTTACCAGCTTTTGCATTTGGCGCCATCTACTGGTCAATTTTGCATTTACAGGCACTTTAACACCCCGACGTCTGCTTCTTCTCAATGATAACAGAACTCGGGCCATCTTTGCGTTTTAATAACACACAGCGAGCATGTGTTTGTGCTGATTCAGAGTGCGTGTGAAGCTGAAAAAAATGAGCTCTTTGAGTCTTGGCGAATCCTATACTACAGTGCATTGGTTTGCCGTCCTCGAATGTGTGTTTGTTTCATTCGTTGCTGCTGTCCTCGTCTTCAGTCGCTCCGTCTGCTTGTCCCTCGGGCTCCGGGTAGTTCAGGATGTGTCTGTTAGCCTGGATGAGATACTGCTGCTGCTTAAAATACACCTTCAGCACTCCTTTCATCACCACAAATGCGATGCCACCCTAAAAGAAGAGGAGGAGATGCTTAGACTGGCACTTGTGGAGTTTCCATTTGGATTTAAATGTGCTGCAGGTACGTTTTTTGACTCTTCCAAAGCATAAAAATAACATTATATTTGCAGATATTTAACCCGTTGTTAAATATATTGTTTAAATATTATTATGGTATGTTGTGGGCTGTTTTTCCCCATTGACTTCCATTATAAACACATTATTTGATTGTATTTAAATAAATTAAAAATGCAATGTAAAATACAGCACAATTGTAGTTATTTATTTACATTGTGCTTGTAAATTTAGTGTTACTGGCAACAAACATCGACAGTAAGTTACTGTAAATTTACAAGTGCACTGTAAATAAATAAATAAATAATGCAATGTAAAATACAGCACAATTGTACTTATTTATTTACATTGTGCTTGTAAATTTAGTGTTTTTTGGCAACCAAAATCGACAGTGTTACTGTAATATTTCAAGTGCACTGTATATAAATAAATAAAAAATGCAATGTAAAATACAGCACAATTGTACTTATTTATTTACATTGTGCTTGTAAATTTAGTGTTACTGGCAACAAACATCGACAGTAAGTTACTGTAAATTTACAAGTGCACTGTATATAAATAAATAAATAATGCAATGTAAAATACAGCACAATTGTAGTTATTTATTTACATTGTGCTTGTAAATTTAGTGTTACTGGCAACCAAAATCAACAGTAAGTTACTGTAAATTTACAAGTTCACTGTATATAAATAAATAAATTATGCAATGTAAAATACAGCACAATTGTAGTTATTTATTTACATTGTGCTTGTAAATTTAGTGTTAATGGCAACCAAAATCAACAGTGTTACTGTAAATTTTCAAGTGCACTGTAATTAAATAAATAAAAAACGTAATGTAACATACAGCACAAGTGTAGTTATTTATTTACATTGTGCTTGTAAATTTAGTGTTAATGGCAACCAAAATCGACAGTAAGTTACTGTAAATTTGACAGTAATTTTTACAGTGCGTCTTTATGCCATTTTACTATTTCAATTTCATCATAATAATTTAATAATTAAATTAATTTTAATTAACATGATACCATATAATCATGCATTCTTGATTGTTGCTGGTTTGTCCTTTTACTAGGAGCATGTCTATGGTGCTGATTTGGATTAGTCTATTAACTTAAGTTGCATGTTTTTGGATGGTGGGAGGAAACCGGGGAACCCGGGGGAAACCCACGCGAGCACGGGGAGAATGTGTAAACTCAGAAATGTCGACTGGCTTGGTAAGGACTAGAACCAGTGACGTTCTTGCTGTGAGGCAACAGTGCTAACCACTGGGCCACCCATCTAGGAAAAGAGAAGGAGTGGGGGGGAAGGGGGGATTCTTAAAAATGAATATGGTTGTATTATGGAAATTAGGGTATTTATAGTGGCTTAGGAATCGCCTGATTGGTCAATCATTAATTAGATAATGCAGGACCGGCTGCAAGCAATCATAAGCACGTGATCCTCTTGAAATTAGTTTATAAATAAATTTCACTTATCTGAAAAACAGTGCTAAAGTCATTTGCATTTAAAGTGGCACCAAAACAGCACAATCAGGATCAAAGTTTTAAAAAGGCATATTCAGAGTTATAAAACATTATGTGTGTGCTATTATGTGCTATAATTATCTTAGAACAGGGCTCGAAATTGCGGCCATTTTGGTCGCATATGCGGCCGAAATTTGATTTATGCGACCTCAAAATATATTTGGGAGCATTTGTGCGAGTGCTTAAAATTGTTGTGTGCGACCAGTTTTTACTGCAAAATGTTCAGCAAATGCACGGATTCGGGAGACATTCATGCAGAATGCATCTCTAAGCTATTGGTCTGCGCCTGAAACGCAGCGCTCGGGAATGGTTTAAAACAGTTGTCATGTAAACGTGCTGCAGTAAACAAAGCCAAGTCCGTAATGCTTGCCCCGCCTTCGCGCTCTTCTTATTGGCCCACCACTGCTCTAGCACTGAACGCGAATGATTGGTTAATATCAGCTGTCAATCACTCAGTGCTTTCTGGCTTGGGATGACAGAGAGAGCTACTACCGCGAAAAACTGTAAAGCGCTGAAGATGAGGATGAAGATAACACTGACAGATTTTATTTTAGAAACCATGGCATCTAAAGTTACAAATAATGACACATCTTACTAGTGATCACGTGCTGAATGTTAACCCACCATCTACACTTTTCCAAGAGTGGATAAAAGACTTCCATTGGCTTCAAGTCCGCTATTAAAAGTCTGTGGGATGGAGTTTTCAGGTAACTGTTTGCCACATCTAGCACGAGAGCTTCTGTTTAATCCTTCAAATAATCGCCAGATGCTGTCCGCCGTGCAAGGGGCAGATATATGTAAAATGTAACACCACATACACCATCGCAAACGGGCTTACACTGAGTAACTAATATCGCTACTCATGAAGATCGGTATGGCTATTAACATGACGTAACGTTATGCATATAATAAGGTACAGTATATGTCAAAAGCATCAGTGCAATATCAGACAGCACCCGTGAGAACAGCACAGTTATACCGTTAACAGATTCATTCAAGCAGTGTGTGCAGGGCCGGTGAGTAACGATGCTCATAATTGGTGGGTGCGACTAGATTTTGGCTGATGCGCCTACATTTTTAAAGTTAGCAGCACCGGTGCTACCAAGCAAAAAGGTTAAGTTCGAGCCCTGAAGAATGATTTGCCGGATTGTCAATGTTCCTTCATCTATTGGGTATTGGAGATCACAATTTCAAGATGTTAATTGGAACGAGACTTGTAAGTTTTCCAGACGTTTTTGTATAACGAATAAAATTAGAGAGGAGTCATTTAAAATTGTTCATCGTATTTACCCGTATTTTTTGAGCTGAAACTTCACACACACTCTTGGCATATCAGAGACTTAGGGCGTACTCACACTATGTACAGTTGCCTTGAACCAGGCCAAAGCACGCTTGTCCTCCCTCCCGTCTCCCCCGACGACCCGCACTCACATTACATTCGGGCCTGGGCACGCTTACATCATCGATGATTCGCTGGTCAGAAGTGCTCTCACTCAGCACAATGGAGATTTCTTTAGTTATATCGTTTAAGTCGTCTGATATGCAGTGACACGCAGTCAAATATTTTTGCTGAACAGATCCGCCACTTTTGACGCTCATAAATAATCATAAAGCCCTCGTGCTGCAGGAATTAGGAGGTCTGCTGAAGGTGCATCTGTCATGCAGTCAGGGGTTTGCCTCTTTAATAAACTATGACAGTTTGTGTTCATTGAACAGTAAAAATGATTAATAAATCCATATGAAACCATAGTCCCATAAAAGTCAAGTCTCGCTTTCAGTTTCAGGCTCTTCCAACTGGGCCAGGCCAGCCAACTAAACCATGCCTGAGCCCGATTCAGAGCATTCGCACTTCTCAAACGATCTGGAAAATGGGCCTGTGCACGGTTCGGATAGCAAAGTGTGATTACGCCCTTACAGTATGTTACACTTTTATAAAGAGGCATAATAGGTCCCCTTTAGGTAAAGGTTAAAAGTAAAAAAAAAAGTTTTAGGCTGCGTCCGAAACCGCCTACTACTCAGTAGGTACTGCATTTGAATTTAAACGTACTACTCGGCTGTTAGAAAAGTGCGTTCTATACAGTATGAATCTGAAAAGTATGAATGAAATTCAGACGTACTACATCCGCCATTTTGTCATGGTCACGTGACCTACCTGCGTTAGTTGCATCGCCTCACTTTCATTCATGAATTCTCTCACGGGGCATTATGGGATAGCGCAGCGTGCATGGGATGCGCACTTCAGAATCTCACCGGAAGTAGTAAATCATCCGGGAACTTCTCGCCTACTGATTTTCGAATTCTAAGAATTCGGACATACTACTCGGCTCGCATACTGATTTTAGCGTACTATATAGTATGGAAGTATGCGGTTTCGGACGCAGCCTTAGTTACTATACGCCCAAAATCTTTTTGCATAATTCTTTATAACAAAATTTTGCACAGAAATAGAAAAAAATGTCTGCAGATTCTTTCTGGCTCTGCTTATAACTATAGTGGACATATCAAAAAGATGCAGCATCCTGTTGAGCTTTACAAGCATATTTTTTTGATGCTTTCAAATTTGTTTGGGAAAGTTAGCTTTGTGCATTTTTAAGCCTGTCACGAAAGTCCAGGTTGTGCAGCATTCTCACCAGGATTGTGCGCTGCAGGTTCGACGTGACTCTGCGAAACAGCAAACGGCCCACCAGGTTGGCGATGGAGGGGAAGATGAGGGCACCGCACAGGGTACGAGACACAGAGAGATGATCTCCTCCATAACTGCCTTCTACTGGGACACGGGGAAGAGCGCGACCCATACCTGTGTGTGGAATTACAAATGTATCAAATCTAGGTGCAAACTTAATAATAATAATAATAATAATAATAATAATAATAGTAATAATAATAATAATATAGCTGAAAAGGTGTATCCTATAGCCCGTTTCACACATACACACCTTTCCGAAAAAATTACCGTAAATTTTCCGGAAAGGTGTGTATGTGTGAACAGGGCCTTTTTGAAAATACCGGTAAATTCGTTCTGGCTATTTTCCGAAAAGAGAAGTTGTAACATTCCCGGTAATTTGCCGGAATGCTAAGCTGTGTAAACGCAGAAGGAAGATTACTGGAAAGAGTGTGTGCACGTCTAGAACGTGCTGACGTGAGACGTATACTTTAGCCAATCAGAACAGTCAGACGCATTTGCGTCCGCGCGGTTTATGAGAATAAAAGCCTTTGAATATTTTTCCAGACATTTATATGTTCATCTTAATGCCAACCGTGTAATTAATTATCGATAAGATGCTTATGATAAGCATCTTGCCTGTGAAACCGTCCGTGAGCGCCAGCACACACACATATCATGTACATCTCGACATGCGAAAATGTTCCTCCATATGTTTTCATCGAAGTTTTTCACAATACTGATCCATCCACTGAGTTTGTGATGTAGTCAAATGTTTACAAACACACGCGCTGCCGTTTAGAGCTCATTTCAGGTTAATGATGTCAGAATTTACCAGTATTTTGGAATGGATGTGTGAATGCTCCTTTCTGGAAAAATTCTGTTGCGTCCTCGACTGTGTGAACAGCACTTTTTTGAATTTACCGATAAATTCGTTCTGGAAATTTTCCATATATTTACCGGTATCACTGTGTGAAAGGGGCTTTTGTGTTTGACATGATGACATAAAAAAATGATCAGTTTATGACCATCAGGCTGATAGCTGTTAATACTGTAACTAATAGTAAAATTCATACAGTAAAAGTCACAACAATCTAATCAAAATGACTTGTTTTAGTGCTTCAATAAGTCAGCTTAAAAACTAATAACAGAAGCAAATTTGTTGAAATACTAAAATGATAAAATACAGTAGAAGTAAATGAGTTAGTAGTTCATCAAGTGTTGTTATTGCTACAAAAACTATTACAAAATAACAGAGATGCAGATTTTTTTTAGTTCTTTTCTTCCACGTACCCGGCACCAGGCCGCTGAAGATCTGCAGTTTGGCGGAGTGTCTTTGCCAGAGCCGCACCACATAATCCTCCCAGCGGATCATTTTTCCCAGCACCAGCATGACAGGGATGGTGGGTAAACCCATGAGCAGAAACAGAGGATCCGCTCGCTCCATCACATCCAGACCCTTCTTATGCCCCACCACCTTAAAACACAAGAAAACACATCTCTTCAAAACAGAGCCTTCCTTCTAGATCAGGGGTCTCAAACTCGCGGCCCATTTGCGGCCCTCAGTGCAATATTTTGTGGCCCGCGCCGACCGCTGTACACTGACAGAATCAGCGGAGCTGGGAGAGAGAGCGCTCCCCGCTCCGCTGATTCTATCCGTACACAGCGGTCACTGGCATTCCCCGCCCACCGTGTAAACAAAGGGGCGGGGATGCCAGTGACGTCACCACGCACCCCGCCCCTTTGTTAGACGCTGTGACGGGCGGGAAGTGTTAGGAGGGAACTCGCGCCGGCCAGAACCAAGGTAAGCTGTTCCCGCCCCTGCCTGCCACTTAGCTACCTATCTGCAGCCTGCCACCTACCTAGCTACAGCCTGCATCTTATATATATTATAGGTAGATACAGACTGGTACAGACTGATGTGACTGGAGTGGGGTGGGGGTGTTTTATTTATACATATATACGCCTTTTTTTAGGTGAGGGAATGGAAGTTTTGAGTGAGTCTAGACAGGTCTAGACTTAATGATGATCATCTTCAAGCCATACTGAGGGTCTCAACTGCTTCCGCTCTAAAGCCAAATGTGGTTCAGATTTGTGAGAAGAAGCGCTGTCAAGTCTCTGGCAGCAAGTAGGCAAAAGATGCCATGTTCAGAAGAACTGTTCATAATCTTCACTCAATGTTCTGTTAATGTTCAGGACACTTCATGTTCAGAAGAAATAATTAAAACTGTTAATAATGACATTTGAGGACTTTTTTTTGTGAAATCCCTTATGCGGCCCAGCCTCACCCAGACTTTGGCTCCCAGTTAAATTGAGTTTGAGACCCCTGTTCTAGACCATTCATTCCTCCGCTAGTCACCACTATTCGGAAATCTGCAGAACTACAGATTGTATTAAACATATAGTATGTTTAACATATAGTATGTTAGCACGGTAATTAAGACAATAGACTGTTGACAGAGTAACGTTAACGTTCAGTTATAAAGGTTAAAACGATGCTTGTGTAGTTGTGTCGAATTGTATGCACTTATAGCAGTTTTATGGTACGTTTAAATTACTGTCATTTGCAGACAGCAAGATACATGCTAAGCTAGTTAACCTTAGCATAGCTTCCCATCACTCATAGATATAAACATCTATGCCAGTCACTTATTAACTTTTAGGCACCCAAATAGATGAGTGAGGCTGCTGCTGAGTCATTCTTGGTCCTCCATCAGCCAAAAAAAACTTGCTCTAGTTTTTTGTGGAAGAATTTTACAGTCAGTGGTGCAGCAGATAAAACAGTGATACTGTATGTAATGTGTGCAAAAGTATATCTTAAGTATATATATATATATATATATATATATATATATATATATATATATATATATATATATAAAACGGAACCCCGGAAGGGACGTAGTGGAGGAGAAAAAAATTGGCTGGGTGAAAAAAATAATAATGGTGAAAGAAAAAAACGGGTGGGAGGAAAATATATATTTCTAAGTTTTTGCGTTCCCTCGCAAAGTTTTGCGTTATCTCGCAAAGATGTTTTGCGTTCTCTCGCAAAGATGTTTCTCCACAAACACTTCCTGTTCACTGCACTCACGTAAACCCTCCCGTTTTTGCCGAAATTCTCCCGTATTTTACCATTCTACCCCTCTTTCTTTTCATTACTGTACGTCGATCGTCGACTTTCATATGCTACCTCTGAACCAGTGAATGCATGTATAAGCGTTGACTGACAGACGCGCTCCATACAATAAACTGATCCCAGATCAGCGTCTGTACACGCCATTTACAGAGGAGCGGGTGTATGTTTAAACAGACAAATACACTAATAATATGAAACATCTCCGTCCTGCATGTTTTATTTTAAACAGCTAATTTTCTCTTAAATGAGCACAAACAGTTTCTAAAGTAATGGACTGCTTTCATTATAGATCTGTGCATTCTTACAGAGACACCTCTGTTATCAAACTAAACAAAACATGAGATTCATTTGCTGCTCACTTGTTTAATAACAGAAGTGTCCCTATAAATGGCACGTACAGACGCTGATCTGGGATCAGTTTATTGTATGGAGCGCGTCTGTCAGTCAGCGCTTATACATGCATTCACTGGTTCAGAGGTTGCAAAGTGAAAGGCGACGATCAGCGCACAGTAATGTAAAGAAAGTGGGGTAGAATGGTAAAATATATGAGAATTTCGGCAAAAACGGGAGGGTTTACGTGAGTGAAGTGAACAGGATGTTTTCTGGAGAAACAGTTTTGCGAGATAACGCAAAACATCTTTGCGAGGGAACGCAAAACATCTTTGCGAGATAACGCAAAACTTTGTGAGGGAACGTAAAACATCTTTGCGAGGGAACGCAAAACTTTGTGAGGGAACGCAAAACATCTTTGCGAGGGAACGCAAACCATCTTTGCGAGAGAACGCAAAACATCTTTGCGAGAGAACGCAAAACATCTTTGCGAGGGAACGCAAAACTTTGTGAGGGAACGCAAAACATCTTTGCGAGATAACGCAAAACTTTGCGAGGGAACGCAAAACATCTTTGCGAGATAACGCAAAACTTTGCGAGGGAACGCAAAACTTTGTGAGGGAACGCAAAACATCTTTGCGAGGGAACGCAAAACTTTGCAAGAGAACGCAAAAACTTATAAATATATATTTTCCTCCCACCCATTTTTTTCTTTCACCCATTTTTTTTTTCACCCAGCCAATTTTTTTCTCCTCCACTACGTCCTTTCCGGGGTTCCGTAATACGTATATATATATATATATATATATATATATATATATATATATATATATATATATATATATATATATATATATATATATAAATATCGCAATATATAATCGCAGGGAAAAAAATATCGCAATGTCAATTTTTTCCAATATCGTGCAGCCCTAGTATGCACTCATGACTGGTACTTTTTGGTAGTTTAATAATTTGGATTAATTTGACTTTTGGTTAAACCCGTTAAATGATAACTGGGAGACAGGTCGAATTTCTGGCTAGTAAAAAACATTATTATTATTCCATTTGGGATGACACTAAACTCATACACATAAGTACACAGTGTACAAATGCATCATTTAGGATGCAACTAATGAATTTGGCTTAATGCCTCCCTCTTGTGCCTCTTTAAGGAACTGCAACAATAATGAGCATCTGAAACCAATGGATTTATAGATTTTTAAAACTTTGAGTGTAAACATTAAATCCCAACAGGTCTACTTCTGTTTTTTACGAACACACCTGCATAACCGTGACGGCCCCGTAAGTCACAGCGGACCAGTAGACGGTGCCCACGACCACTCCAGCCGCAGCAAATGGACTCGCTCTGGACAGAGCCCGGTCCACCTGCTGGAGGAAGTACACCACAGGACCTGAAAGAGACACACAAGCACATATTAACACTTCCCTTGAACGAGTGAAAAAAAACAGCCAAGCAGACAGTCGGCGTGTGTTAGTCACTGATAAACCCACACACAATCTGTGCACAGCTAGCACATTTTACCAGCTAATGTGTGAAGAAATAAATATTTGATACATAAATGGGGAAGTTTAGCAAAACAAGTGCAAAAGCTGTGCAATATAGAATAATAGTGTAGAAACATCTATGCATATCTAGATTTATTTAGTATTATAGCAGATATTCATATGTACAATGAGCTTTAATACTGTTCTTAGTGTATATATTTTCATTTTATGTTATTAATTTAGTTATACGCTGTTGTCTTTTTCTGTATTTCTATTATTTCTAATTATTGTCATTTACATTTTCAAACATTTTTATTATCTTACTTTAAGTTATTTTATATCAGGTTTTAATTTTAGTAATTGTAGTACTTTAACACTTATTTTCAGTTATATACTTTTCATTCATTCATTTTCTTGTCGGCTTAAGCCTGGTTTATACTTCTGCGTCAAGTGACCGGCGCAACTCACGGCGCAGGCAACGCGCGCAGCTGTGCATTCATACTTCTGCGCACTGTTTCTGTTGGTGTGCATTAACACTTCCAAAACGCTAGTTGTCAGTGAGGTGTAAATGTTCCTCTGTGTCGAGTTTCTTTGCTTCTGTTTTGCTATTCTGAATACTTCCTGGTTGTACAAGTGACTCAAACTCGCTTATTTTGAGGCAGGAACCGGCGGACGTGCAACAACTTTAACTATGAGGTAAACACAAAACAAAACTTTCCATCCGGAGCTCCTTCACGGGACTCCACACTTGTAAACAATCGCTCGCGCGGCTCTCGGTCCCGCCCAGACTCATCGGCGCTAGCAAGCCGACCAATCACAGAGCTTGTGCTACGCGTTGTTGCGACGTGTAGTTACAATTTTTGAGAGGTGCACGTCAGCGACGGCCACGGCAAAGGGCTATGCGTCAGCGCCGTAGCCTACGCCGGTGTTTGACGCAGAAGTATAAATCAGCCTTTAGTCCCTTTATTAATCCAGGTTCGCCAAAGCGGAATGAACCGTCAACTTATCCAGCAAGATTTTATGCAGCGGATGCCCTTCCAGCCGCAACCCATCTCTGGGAAACATCCACACACACATTCACACACACACTCATACACTACGGACAATTTAGCCTACCCAATTCACCTGTACCGCATGTCTTTAGACTGTGGGGGAAACCGGAGCACCCGGAGGAAACCCACGCGAAGGCAGGGAGAACATGCAAACTCCACACAGAAACGCCAACTGAGCCAAGGTTCGAACCAGCGACCTTCTTGCTCTGAGGCGACAGCACTACCTACTGCACCACTGCCTCGCCACATATACTTTTCAGTAATATCAATTTAATATAGAGAAGATACAAGATGTGTAGCACCGGAAACTACGGATACTGGAAGCCTGTGCTGGCATTTCTCCTGCGGTGTTGCTATCAGTGTGTGAAGAGTGGGAGAAAAGGGTTGCATTGACAATCCAACACAATGGGCAGCACGTTAAACACATTTTATAAGTGGTCAGAAACTTGTAAATAAATCATGAAGGAATAAAGTTACGTTAAAACCAAGCGCACCATTGTTTTCCTTGTGAAATTTCCAATAAGTCTGATGTGTCACATGACCCTCTCACTATTGAAAAAACAAAAACGGTTCTTAATTCCAAGAACGCAGAGGATGGACTTGCGTTCTTGTAGAGACCGGTCTTGCCAGGTGTCCTCGGAAGAACGAACTCAGGAGACCGCGAGGGCAGAGAACGCATCCTGTGTGAAATGAGATACTAGGTGCGTTCGACATTAAGCTCAGCTGCAGCCGGTGATCAACGAGAATAGCCGAGCGAAGGCGGGGGCGGAGTTGAAAACGGAGCCGTCAAGACGGACAGCTGGACACTTCGGGACTCGCTGCAGTCATGATGACCGATCACATGGCGTCATCATATATATATGTATATTTTGTTATTTTTATTTATAACAACAAAACATTTACAAATAAAACAGAATACAGTCTACAAACTGTAGTTCCTTTATAAACAATAAGGGAGAATTATGAATAAAATATTACAAATGCATGAGAGAAATAAGAGGAAATAAGAGGTTAATATAAACATAAAAACGAACAGGTCTATTAAATACAAAGCAATAAGCATAAATTCTAGGAGTTAAACATCAATCTTTAGGCTAATACTTCTTGTTTGAATATGCTAAAAAAAGGGTTTACATATATGTACAATTATAGATATAAAAATTTCCAATGTAAAAAGCCAAACAAGGTGTTTTGATTAGGTCTTAATAAATGAGATTATTTTGGATAATGAATGAATTTTCAAAAAAGCATTTTAATCCAAAAAGATTGTGTTGAAAAGAACAAAAGGTAAAATAAGTGAGCTATGTAGAAGTTTCCCAGAAAGAGCAGGTAAGCCTTTAAACTGCTAGACAGGAAATAAAATATATATTTATATTATAATAATAAAACCATTTTATAATTATTTAATAAAATAGTTCTTTAACTTAATTTGTTAAGAGAGCTTTAGTGTGGCAGGATCAATGATGATGAATAGTTTATTTCAATTCTGTAAGATTTTTTTGAGTTCATATTTAGGTTATTCACTAAAATATACACTAAAATGTATCATTTAAATCGTTCATGGAGATGAATGCAGTAAATAGTCTGTATAAAAAGTTAAAAATAAACCTGTGCAAACAAGCTAACCTTTATAACCAGATTATTAAGCAAAAGATGATACTGCAGTCAAATATTTGTAGTCTTTTAATAAGTAAGATGTGTACAGGATAGAGAGGGTGTGAAAAGTGAATTTTGTTTTGAAACTTTTGAATCGGAATTTGTCCAATTATAAACCCGAAATACACGTGTTTGTTGTCATGTGGTGAACTCGGCCAATCGTGTAATATCGGTGTCGTCATCAGAGCTCCTGCAGTCGCTCTTCAGAAGCTGCACGGTCTGAGTCTGCCGTCTGATCTCGGAGCGCTGTCGCGGTACTTTGATGCCACATGTGACAGTCACGTGGCGTCGGCGCAGCATCAATCCGGACAAGATTTCTAACCAGCATGCACCGCTTTAAGACAGATTTCGACCGATCTGCGCAGCGCTGCATGAAGTCGAACACACAGGGCTCAACAATAAGGACTGCCCGATGGCCCGGGGCTAGCGTGTGAGATGCTCGGGACAGTAGACAGGATCGTTACTGGGCCACTAATGCCCATTCACTAAAGTTTAATTTGCCTGTGACTATTTGTCAATTGCAAGCAAATACAGTCAGAATAGAGAAACCGTTTGTGTTTTTAAGCCTTCAAATGCTACCTTCTCGGTTCCTCTTATCTGATTGGATGTTGTGAGCATGTTATTTTTTTCCATAACAATCAGTACAGCTAAGAGACAGCAACATGGCGGCAACATCAAGTAATGATGCTAAAGGAAAACATTTGTTTAGCGTCTTGGAAGCAGACATTTACGAGGGTACACCACGACTAAAAAAATGTGGTGATGTTTTGTACAGTTTGCCGTTAGTTTGGCAGGTCAGTCATCTTTTGGTTTTGCAAAAAAATACCTGCACATTTTGCTACTTTTGTTTGCAAAACACTTTATTAACAATTTTTAAATATTTAAATTCTAGATTTACAAACATTTTAACATTTTTTTTAATTTGTGGCTTAGAAATGGCTATTAACTTTTTTTTGGTGGGGCCAGTGACAATATTGGCAGGGCAAGTAAAAATCTGAACCACTGGTCCGATCGGGCCAGTAGAAAAAAAATCCTTAGGGTTGAACCCTGACACACCTACTGTGTTCTTCTTGATGGTCACATGACCTTCACGCGTTTTAAATGGTAAATTATTTAAACATTACAGCATTCACACAACAACTTATTGTTTTTCCCCTTTTTTAAAATATATACTCTGCATAAAAACATTATCAATATACTCGGCACAATATAAATCAAACAGATTTTAATACGAATTTCAGCAAACAAACACCCTTAATGTGTTTATATTCCTCTATTAAGATGTTCATAGTGATGTTTACTTTTCACCGTTTCATTTAGGGAAACTCCTGAGGTAAACAAGTTATATCTCTGAACTTTAATAATAAATCTATATAGAATGCTTCGCTTCCCACATTCAGTCGCAATGACTTCTGGGACCTCCAGAGCGAGTTCGGTGCTCAAGTCTACATCGGTTTGTCCTCGATATCAAGATCACATCCGGGAAGTTTCACGCGTCCTCCGTACTTGCAGTCTTGAGTATTGGAACTGAACTTAGGCAGCTGATGATGACGTTGCATGAGAACACGAGGACGCAAGACACCATTGACCACAATATCCTCATAAATCGCTTAAAGTCTACAGGTGTCTAGGAACAGGCTCTACAATGGTTTAAGTCATACTTAACTGACCGTTACCAGTTTGTGAATATTAATGGACAGCCTTCACAAGTCAGCCCAGTAAAGTATGGGGTGCCTCAAGGATCAGTTTTAGGCCCTTTGCTGTTTACAATTTACATGCTACCACTGGGAGACATTATTAGAAGACATGGGATCAGCTTTCACTGCTATGCAGATGATACTCAATTATATATTTCAACTAAACCTGACGAGACGTCTCAACTGTCTAAACTAACTGAGTGTATCAAAGACATTAAAGACTGGATGACCAACAATTTTCTTCTCTTAAACTCTGACAAAACAGAATTATTACTTATTGGGCCTAAATCTTGTACATAGCAGATCTCGCAACTCAATCTACAATTAGAGGGATACAAAGTTAGCGTTAGCTCTACTATAAATGATCTATACGGTTATTCAGCATTCATTTTTTTCCGTTTTATTGTTTTATAATATTGTAAATTAAATAGTATATATTTTAATTACTTTAATTTGCATTAATAAAAATAATTTGCACCAGACAAAACTGACCCATTTTGGGGAAAACGATGCGGTATTCGGTGCCACATTGTGGGCAGCTGACGGCTCCTCCGCTGTTTCCCTTCTGCTTCTCATCCAGCCATCGCTGTAAACACGACTGATGGATCCACTTTGTGCAGCCCTTACAGCGGCAGGGACTGACCCATTCAGCAGCGCGGTCCTCTTTCTCTGTGGCAAAACACACCCAGCAGTGCCTGTACACACACAACAAAGGATAAAAATCACGAGGAGGCCTTCATGACACTGGACAAATCTGCAGTATTGCTGTGGAGTATTGCAATGACCACATTTCTTATGATCTAACATTTCATTCATTCATTTTCCTTCAGCTTAGTCCCTTATTCATCAGAGGCTGCCACAGCAGAATGAACCCCCAACTATTCCGGTATATGTTTTACACAGCGGATGCCCTTCCAGCTGCAACCCAGTACTGGGAAACACTTATACACACTCACACTCATACACTACGGCCAATTTTGTTTATGCAATTCCCCTATAGTGCATGTGTTTGGACTTTGGGGGAAACCGGAGCACCCCAAGGAAACCCACGCTAACACGGGGAGAACATGCAAACTCCATACAGAAATGCCAAATGACCCAGCCGAGGCTCAACCCGGCAACCTTCTTGCTGTGAGGTGACAGTATTATTAATACCTTAATGCCTTGTTTATTTTAATAATATTATAATATTATTAAATTATTATTAAAATTTTTGAAATTATTATTAATAATATTAAAACAAACAAGAAAAAAATCTTCCTATTTTTGCGATAATTTTGCGGTGTATTCTGCAGCCCTAATGAGCATTCCCAGCTAACGCAGAAACTCACTTCTCTGGAGGTTCGTCAACACAGGCCATGATGAGTCAGGTTAAATCCAGCATGAGTGAGCCACAGCAGCCTCAGAGATCACACCTGGACACACACACACACACACACACATCAGTACACTGTATCATGTTTATTCAGTAAAAACAACATTCAGTTTAATTAAATAGCCGAAATAAAGATCATAATGAGACTGAGAAAGAGTAAAGATTCTATTGTGACTGTGGAATATGAGAATATATAATCATGAGTACAAAATATAAAGTCTATAATTTCATATTCTGCTCTATCATTTTCCCTAATGGGGCTTATTTACTCTTTCTATGCTACCCCTCGTCACACCTGTCTTCCCCTGAAATGTGTGAAGTCTGTGTATGATCGGAGAGGTCCTATTTCACTGCATGTAAAAGTGTATGTGACAAATAAAAGCTTTCATGATCATCATCATCATCATCATCATCATAATTTATTTTGTAGTGTCTCAAATATATTGTTTAATGCAATACTTTTTCATAATTTATATGTGCACCATATTATATGGCTTTACAGTGATTCAGACAGAAACAAATACAACAACAACAACATCATAAGAAAGGTGCAATCTTGAAAGTACAATGCTTACATTTTGCATTTTAATTTTGCATTTTTTTATTTTATTTAATGGTCTTTAATCATTCGTTTTTGAATAGTGTTTTATATTCAATTCATATTTATAGAATTTCCCCTGAAGTTCTAAATAAATCAGAAATATGATCACAAATGCAGAGTAAATTTCTGAGAATACACTTTAAACTGTAAAAAAAGTTGATGTAAATGTAAAAGGTTTATTTTCTATTGGGTCAATACACAGTTAAAGTCAGAATTATTAGCCCCCTTTGAATTTCTCCTTCTTTTTTAAATATTTCCTAAATGATGATTAACGGAGTAAGGAAAATTTTCACAGTATGTCTGATAATATTTTTTCTTCTGAAGAAAGTCTTATTTGTTTTATTTTGCCAAGAATAAAAGCAGTTATTAATTTTTTAAACACCATTTTAAGGTCAAAATTATTAGCTTCTTTAATCTATATATTTATTCGATAGTCTACAGAAAATGTAGACTATCATTATACAATAACTTGCCTAGTTACCCTAACCTGCCTAGCTAACCTAATTACCCTAGTTAAGCCTTTAAATGTCACTTTAAGTGTCTTGAAGAGTATCTAGTCAAATATTATGTGCTGTCATCATGGCAAAGACAAAATAAATCAGTTATTAGAATTGAGTTATTAAAACTATTATGATTATAAATGTGTTGAAGAATATCTGCTATATGAATATAAACTATTAATTAATAAAATTGACATAAATGGTACTATTATATTGTGATATATATCTTGCTCTCAGGATGTGAGATTTTTGTCATATTAGGGTGGTTTTCAACCATTAAAACAACAAAAGTGTACGATGGCTTTAACTTTAGTTTTTTTCATGTAGAGTAAAACGTGTGCTGCTTAATTTTAGTTTTTCCCTGAGCAAACAACAGTGACTATACACTACCTGACAAAAGTCTTGTCAGATGTAAGAGCAACAAATAATAACCTAACTTCTAGGTGATCATTTGTAAAAGTGTCATAAGGTGGATTTTTCTGATAAATCATCTGTTGAGCTGCATCTCAATCATTACAAATACTGCAGAAGACCTACTGGAACCCGCATGGAGCCAATATTCTCACAGAAATCAGTCGAGTTTGGTGAAGGAGAAATCATGGTTTGGGGTTATATGTAGTATGGGGCTGTGCGAGAGATCTGCAACATCAACAGCCTGAGGTATCAAGACATCTGTGTTGCTCATTACATTACAAACCACAGGAGAGGGACAATTCTCCAGCAGGATAGCGCTCCTTCTCATACTTCAGCCTCCACATCAAAGCTCCTGAAAGCAAAGAAGGTCAAGGTGCTCCAGGATTGGCCAGCCCAGTCACCAGACATGAACATTATTGAGCATGTCTGGGGTAAGATGGAGGAGGAGGCATTAAAGATGAACACAAAGAGTCTTGATGAGCTCTGGGAGTCCTGCAGGAACGCTTTCTTTGCCGTTCCAGATGACTTTATTAATCAGTGATTTGAGTCATGTCAGAGATGTATGGATGCAGTCCTCCAAGCTCATGATGGAGTCAGACACAATATTCATTCGGTCTCCACTGCAGCAGGACTTTATATTCTATACAAGACTTATGTTATAGCAAAGTGAGACCTTACTGTCCTAATCAAATCATTCAAAATCAAGGCATGATCATATTTTATTGTGATCAAATAAGTGTAATCTAGATGCCTTTGCCTTTCATATAAGCCACTTCTAATACCAAATGATCAACTAGAAGTCAAGTTATTATTTGTTGTTCATAAAACTTGGATAGGCGACAAGACTTTTGTCAGGTAGTGAACAGTATGTACTATATAAATGGCCACTAAAATAGTAAAAAATCTTCTCAGACATATTTTGATCAAGAATCATTTGACAATTACAGTTTTGCCCCAAAATGCTAATTTTAAAACTTTATATTATAAAACAATCTATCAGAAAGTTTTATTTTTATTGTAATTTAAAATACACTAAAATTTGGTGAGGTCACTTATGCTTTGACATATTTCAACAAGCAGTTTTATATTTCATTTATATATTCATTTGTGTTATATATAGTGCCATTTATTCATTATGTCATTTATTATGTTATGCTAAATGACCACATCATTTCATCACATTTTCACTTTTGTTTTCAAACTATGAAGTAGACACGTCGATTTAGCATGCTTTCTAAATATAAAATCACTTTTGTAACTCAATTTTATCAACATATTTTGAGTAAGAATGTTTTATTTGAAAGATAGCACACAGTACTATACATGACAGTATACTTGTTTCATTTATATTAATGACATCTGCCTTTATCTGAAATCCACGCCGTAAATGTATTTGTGATTATATCGTTACTATACGTGTTTTAAATTGTCAATCAAGCCCTCTAATCACATTTGAATGAGACTTCGGTTACAATTCTGAAGGAAGACATTTCATCATAATTTTCTTTAGTAGCGACTCACTGTTATTTTAGTTTTAACAGATATAAACATACCACAACTTGTCATTCGCGCAACACTATTAGCCCGGTTCATGTGTGGATCATTACCTGAAGATGTTACGTGTATCTAATCGCTTCTGCTGGGCGTTTATGTCAGATATCTGGCTGATTTGACAGTTTCAATTTCTTCGAGGACAGAACAACAACCTTATGAAGGACAACTTCCGGATGGGCAACTTCCGCGTGTCAAAATAAATGTCCCCCAACAAAATCCGGTAGTTGCTAAAGAGGATACAACTGCGGCTTGGAGAATTATTTATATAATTAAATAAATTACTAATTAATGGGGTATATGCACAAAGACTTTTAATTTTTACCCAGCCTCCTCGACGACTTCCGGTGAACTGTTTTTCCATTACAAAATCGCCATGTATAAGATCTGTTTTCTTTAAAAATAAGTGATCTTTATATTTGATATAAAGTGGGCCTCAGACCAGACAAGAAGCACTGCATTAAATTCCATTTCCCCCCACCATGTCTTTAAAATATGAACATTTATTTTACCTCAGTATTTTGAAAGGAGTTTCTGCGCTAGCCTACTGCTATTGACGCTGCTAGCGGTTACACGGTCTATCATCTCATTTTATGATTGAACAACTAAATAAATGCTTAGGTTTATTTAACTGATTGTATTTTAATTACATTACGATGTCAACGGTGTAAAAAGAACCTCATAAGACTGAAAACAAAGTTTTACCGAAAATAAAGTTTACTGCTGGCAGAAAAACACTAGCGGTGCATATAGCTCATTATATTCCTAGCCCAACCCTAAACCCAACCATCAAATAATGTAAAAACAGTAATTATACAGAGAATTAATCATATTGTTTATTAAAGGATTCATTAAATTTTATTTTATTTTATTTACAATTTATTTAATTTATATTTAATATTGTTCAAAAGTCCAAATTATAATGAAAAAAAATTCAGATAAACTGACCATTATTCCCAGTGATGGGCTGCAGCTGGAAGGGCATCCGCTGCGTAAAACATGTGCTGGTTAAGTTGGCCGTTCATTCTGCTGTGGAGACCCCAAATGAATAAAGGGACTAAGCCGAAAAGAAAATGAATAAATAAATGAGGAATATCACATGAATAGCAGTGCGATATGACTGTATCCGGTTGTTAAGTCGTGACATATGGAATACTGTTTCCTGGTCCAAGCCACTAATCATTTAAATTGAGAAAATGTTTGTTTATGGTCACTTTTTAGTCATATCACACTTTAAAGTGAATTTTACATAGAATAATTTCGTACACAACAGTCTCTGGACTTGCTGCATCACAAACACCAAAGTTTTACCAATTTATAAAAAATTAATCACTTTCTGGCCATCGGATATTAGGCATATTGTGATTTTTGAAAGTATTACATCACTTTGTAAATGTTTATACCCTTTGAGTCTCCCTGTACAGTTTGACAGAGCGATTGCACCAAGAAAGCAACTTGGCGTGATGTCACACTTAACAAGGGGATATCGGCACTGGTGGGAGACGTGCGGCCTTAGTGTCCCACCAGCGCTCATAAATAACCATGATGCATTGCAACGAGTGTGATATTTTATTTATACAACAGTTTGACTGCATAATCGTGTATATAGAAAAGAAGATCAAACATAGAGAGTCTCAAAACCCTTTTGTAAGAGGAACTACTTTCCTCTGCCATTCATTTACATCTGCAGCTGACGTAAGAACAGCAGAAGCTGTTACTTAGAGCTAATATTTGAATGATTCTCTAGCGTAATTTCTAAAGTCTCTAAAGTCTTCTTCTTTGGCTCTCGGCGAAGGCGGGCTGTCTCGTCTTATTCTATCTCTGATGCTCTTTGTGCCCTGCTATTATAAATTATACATTTTACATCTATATAAATAAACTGCATAGTTGCAATCTAAACGACTACATTCTCGCCTAATAAGCCTCAAAAGTACATTATGTTGTCCAACAGCTGCAATATTTGTCAAACTGTAGTAAGTTTATTGATCTGTTGTCACTCTATGTGGGCGGAGTAATACAGGAGGAGGCTGTACAGGTGCTGATATTGCAGAATATCCCATGGCTATCAGCCAATCAGGTTCGAGCACCAGACAGAACTGTTGTATAAAAAATTACAATAAACAGGTATTATGCAATATGCAAAATTATTATTTAAAATAAATATTAAAATAAACCAACCACTTTGTGACACTCTAAACATCCGTGCTCTATTTTCCCATCAACTAATTAAAAACAAGACTTTATTTTCCATGTTTTTTATAAATAATTGCAGGTAAAAAAAAATAATTTATCGTTCCAAAATTCGGCTACGAGGTTGTCAAACGGCGTGGAATTCGAACAGTCCATTGGCTAAATGAGCTGTCAATCATCTTCCGTTAACGCTGTTTCATTGGCTCCCTCCGCGGTGAGGTTTGGTTGACGCATCACCGCTCAGCCAGGGTTTTTACTGCTGAGCAGCGACGGTTATTTTTATTTACATGCACAGAAAATCATAAACGGGGCTTCTTGCGAACGAATTGACCGAAAAACGCAGCCAAGCGCAGGTTGAACATGGAGTCGTATGATATTATAGCCAACCAGCCGGTTGTGATTGATAATGTGAGTATGATGTCAGCAGCCCTCCACACCCAGTCTGAGCTAACGGGCTAAAGCTAATGCCATTGTGCCGAAGCCCTGCGCTAGCCGACCGATGCTAAGTTAGCGTTTATTTAGGAATTAGTTTTAATAAATACCAGTTTCCAATGTGTTTAGCAATCATACGTAACTTAAACAAGCAAGGCATTGCAGAGTATCATTGTTAAAAGCGTTTTCATTAAGCATTAGCTAGCTCCATCGGGATTTGTCATTCAGTTCAGCGATGCTTTGAGTTATTATGCCAAGACTTGAAATAAATTGTTCATTTTAATCAAATACTGTAAGATGCAGGGTTGTCAAGGAGTATCTGTCAGATATAATCCTGTATTTTAAGCTGGAGTTGTATTTGCCAAGATGGCTGGCTTTGACCCCGCCTTGTATTTACATACACACTTCATACAATGAAGTAATGTGTATATTTAATAGAAAATGTGTTACTTAATGTAAGTCAGAAGGTGAAATAGTTTATGCAAACTTGGTAAGCTTCATCTTTTAATCACTATTAAGTCAAGATTGAATGTATGCATTAATATAACTTTGACATATTGAGAAAAATCTGAAAAATTTAGTAAATATCAGTGACTTCTGAAGGAGTTTTCTCACAGTCTGCCTCTTCTGCAGTTTAAATCTGCTTGATTTTTTTTTTTGTTTGTCCCTTGAGCTCTGTCTCATGACTCCAGATCAAACAAGGAGGGTTCAGATGATTCATTTTACAACACGCTCACTGTTTGAGCTTGTGCACTTGGAGTTTATTTTGAACCTCCTCCCTCTATTATTGCTCATTTCTGACTGCTGGTTTAATCTCAATTTGTCTTCCAGGGGTCGGGAGTTATCAAGGCAGGCTTTGCTGGAGATCAGATCCCCAAATACTGTTTTCCAAATTAGTAAGTAACAAGTGTTATCAATAGAAACGTAGCTTTCAAAAGTTTATGATCATGCACTTATTCGCTAGAATGCATTAAAAGGTGACAATGAAGGGGAAATTCTTGTTAAAGTGATCCTGGAGCACAAAAGCAATCTAATGTTACACTTGTATATGATTGGCGATATGCAATAATACATTGTATGTTAGGGTATCCGCAGGGTCTAAAAAGTCTTAAAATGTCTTAAATCTCAAAAGCTAAATTTTAGGCCTTAAAAAGTCTTACATTTACTGAAATGTTGTGTTGTAGGTCTTAAATCTTTTGTAAACGGGTCTTAATTTAGTTTTTTCATGCATAGCTACCCAATATGGCCATTAACACCAATCACCAGCAATCTATCTCAATAAAACCTTTAACTCTTTATTTAAAAATAGCTTTTAATTACTTGCCTTACAGTAACATTTATTTAAAAGTTCTCCATTTATTTGCTGTACACTGACCTGACCAATATTTTTTTATTACTAAATTATTATTATTGTAGACCGAAGTAATTGACAGCTATGTTTTGTTCTATTCTTGGTACGGGTTATAGGGTTTGTGAAGGGATATATTTGAAAATTAATAAAAATATTCAAACTAAATTATTATTATTATTGTATTATTAAATGTATTTAATTTTAATAACTTAAAATATGGCAAGTGAAAACCTTTTCTAACTGGGATATTAAAAATAAGTAAAAAGTTTCATTCGTAATTGTCTTAAAAATGTCTTAAAAATATTTAATTTAACTTTGCGAAACCTGCAGAAACCCTGGCATGGGTTAAAATTGATTGTTGATTTACACCATAACATCATTAAGATATTGAGTAAAGATCATGTTCAGTTAATGTTTTTTAGCTAAATTTCCTTCTGTAAACCTGTCAAAACTTAACCTTTGAATATAAATATGAATTTCTAAGCACTTTAGTCAACTTTAAAGGAGATTTTCTCAGTATGTATATATTTTTTTCTATCCCTCAGATTCCAGATATTCAAATAATTGTATTTTGACCACATTTTTATTGTATTCCTACAAAGCATACATTAGTGGAAATCCTAACTACTTAGGTTTTAGATCATGTTTTAATCTCAGTTTTAAAAAGGATGAGACTTATGACAAGTTTTAGTTGTCCAGGGTTGCATATATTTACATAGGGCTGCACAATATATCCTTACAGCATCGTTATCCCGATGTGATCATTCGCAATAGTCACACGTGAGTATACGCAATGTTGAGTCTGGGTTATAATTTAACATTTTGCAAGTATTTTTTGAGACCTGTTAATGTTTTAAAGCATCCAGGCTTAAGAAAATGTACCGTTTGTGCCTTTGAAAAGATTATAACGATTAATTTTATTGAATTGTTTATAAAATGAAGATTATGCAGTATTGTTTTACATTTACTTATTCATTCACTGTATACATGAATACATTTCAAGTCTTCGTAAAACAATAAGACGCTGTTTATTTAATTTGCATATTGTTTTTTTATTGAATTTATCTATATTTGTAGATAATTTGTTATATTTTATGCCCCTCCCCCCTTTGAATCTTCCCAGTCAATCTGAAATAATAATTCTTTCTCAACAGTTTTTCAACTGGCCTAGAGAACTTGTATTTATATTGCAACATATTTTGCAGAAGAAAAAAAATCGCAATGTGTCTTTTTTCCAATGACGTGACAGATGTTTTCAACATTAAAACATCAGAAATGTATCTTTATCATTAAATTAACCTATTCATTTTTAGAAATGTTCATCCATAATTGCATTTGTTGTGTTATTTGCATTGTATCTGTAATTTTCTTTCTTTTCTATTGATTAAACCACAAGTGATTGCTAATATTCTCTAGTCTAGTATCTTCTCAGTGTTTTAAAGCTGTGATATTAACTATAGTGGTTTATTTATAGTGTGGGTCGACCCAAGCATGTTCGGGTGATGGCTGGTGCACTGGAAGGCGATCTGTTTATTGGACCTAAAGCAGAGGTAACCCTTTTTATTTTGATTCTATTTTACTATTAGATGTATATTATTATATGTGAGAAAAATAATTGTGGGAATGAATTAGGCCTGCACAGTATTGGAAAAATCTGATATTGCAAGATTGAATTTTTCTGTGATAAATATTGCAATATGAATCCAGTTTCACAAGAGAGTTTGTTTTCTGGGGAGTCGTAACAGTACTACTTGGGTACAGATATTGAATAATCACAATGGAAAAAATGCTGTTCTTACTTTGCTTTGTCTTGTTTTATAGTCCAAATATCTAAAGATTGTTGGATCAAATAAAAATATTGTTTTGTTTTTCAACTGCAGAAGAAATAATTCATAATTAGTGTTATACCTTAAAACAAGTACAATTAACTGCTAGTGGGCTAAGTAAAATAATCTTGTTTTTGCTTTGAAATGTAGATATTTGTACTTTAAACAAGACAAAAATTTTTAAAAAATTGCTGTTTTTTTTTTTTTTGCAGAAGTTGTATAAATCCCATTTAAATACAGTAATTAAATACAATTTGGTAGCTCCTGGTCAACTAGGACTCAGTGCATATCTTGCGATGTAACTATTATGAAAGTGCATATTGCGATATCGATGCTGAAATCTTAGATTGTGCAGCCCTAGAATGAATTAATAAATCATGCACACAGCCTAGTAAATTGAGGGAATGAATAAGTCTATTAAGTTCTTGCATGTCATGTGCAGTGCTCCATTTAAAGGGATAGTTCACCCCAAAATGAAAATTTCCTGTTAATTTTACCTACCCACAGGTCATCCAAGATCCAAGACTTTCTTTTTTTCAGTAGAATATTAAAGAAGATTTAATGAATCTGTTGTTCTTGGTGATTTAATATAATGGCAGTGAATGGTGACAGGTTTTTAGATTAATAATAAACACATACAAACTAATTCAAATCAATAGATATGGCTCCTGATGAGACATTATTTACAATATTGCTAACTTGAATCCACAGCCTGGTCAAACAGTTTTCTGGGCTTCTGCGACTGTAGTTCAGTGTTTTTGTTATATTTTAACATATTAATATAAGTACATAATGTGTTGATGTCTGTGGTATCTGCAGGAGCACCGGGGTCTGCTGTCTGTTCGGTACCCAATGGAACATGGGATTGTGAAAGACTGGAACGACATGGAGCGCATCTGGCAGTACGTGTACTCGAAGGAGCAGCTGCAGACCTTCTCTGAGGAGGTGAGCATGTGCTTCTTCTACAGTTTGCTTCATAGTTATATACATTATATGTCGCCTGGCCTATTGTTGTCTATTGGACGGAATGCGTCAATAGCGCCGCCATCTTGCTACAGGGTAGCGCTCCTTTGAAATGAATGCGGGACCAAGGTACAGTGGAGGGCTGTGGCCATCCAAAGCCAGAGATATACACATATACACATATATCTGTGATCGGGAGTTTTCCTGGATGTTAGTATGTCATTCTTTTTTCTAATTACGAAAATTATAATTTTACATCACTTTTCTACATTGATGGATTAGTGACCGCACGGGCATTCCATTCTAAAAGCTTGTGTTTGTGTGTACTGAAATGTACTATCCACCCTCCCTGTTAAATTTGATCTAATCATGTCCTGAAACACAGCTCCTCTCCTGCTTTCACTTCTCATACTGACGGAGGGAGCGATTCGTTTGTGAATGAATCCCCCGAACGTCTCTTTCACTAACGTTAGCCGACAATAGTACAAGTTTCTGGCAGCGCAGCATCTCGTTGTCATATTTATTTGGCATTGTTTGCTGATTTTATTCAACAAAACTAGCATAAGCCGAGTGTTTAGTGTGAGTTGGAGCTGCTTTGCCTTATGGTGAATGCAGTAAGTGACTGTTATCATCAATAACGTTACCTGATTAGCACAAAAGTTCACAACATACAAAAACAGAAAAAAACTTAATATTACCTATGAAATGTTCTGCCTTTGTGCTTTGATTTCTTTGTTTGCTCATTACTACACTCGTAGACAGCGCTAAAGTCCCGCATCTTCACGTAATAACACTGTCTTGACTAGAGCGGTTGAATGACATTTGTCCTGGGAGCACTGTACCAATGTGGCGGCGCTATTGACGCATGCTCACGGTCCCTATGCGATATCTAGTGTATATATCTATGAGTTTGCTTGTGCAAGTCAAAAACCAGTAATCTGTATTTTCCACTACGGTACCAAAATTTCAGTATTGAAGCTGGTTGTTGATGAGTTAGAGAGTGAAGTGTGGATGCACTATCCTTAAAGGGTGTACAACGTGAAATTTAAAATGACAGTAGTCAAATTTATTTTTTCTCTCTGTCACATCTTTTCCTATTGTGCTGCCAGAGATATGTTAAAAGTAACTTGATGGTGTATTAATATTAGACATCATATTTGTGTACAACCCACTTTGTTGATTATTAGCGCTCTCTTTTAGTATAGTGGCTTGACATTAACTTTTTTGATCACCAGCCACTGTGGCTAGTAGTTTTCCAACATTACTAGCCACTCGCCATTTTCACTAGCCACAATTTTGTTGTTTGGAAACAATATTTTATATGAATAAATGTGACTTTGACATGCTAAAATGACTTGATTTAGATGTTGTGCTGTCCACATGCCTCCTTATTTATTTCACTGTTTGTGTGTGTTGTGTGTGAGCTTGCTCACTGTGCATGAGCAAATGGGTTGTGTCCCATTGCAATTGGTTTTTATTTCACATGACAATTTAGGGCTCAGAATTAAGGTTCTACCGAATTCATCTCTAACCACACCAAAAATAAATAATTATTTCTTAGCCACACATTTTAAATGTGTCAAAGCAAGCAAATATATAGCTGTATACATGCACTTTATTCAACAAAACTTTTCTTTATAAAAAAAAAATATTAACATTTAAAAAGATATATTGTCATGCATCTAAAATATGCACAGTAATCTGTCCTGACTAAAGGTCTCAAATCAGCAGTTACTACACACAAATGGGGAGTTAATCTCGTATTAAAGAAATGTTATTGTAAAGGATGATAATTAAACTATATTTACAAAAATAACTGTAAGCAAAAGAAAGCAGGTAAAAACATACCACGAGTGATAATGAAAGGATGATCACGTGCCTGAGAACAATGAAAACAAAAGCAGTGGCTGCTGCTGCTTACAAGAAAAAAACTAATAAAAAATAAATATATATATATATAATTTCTCCAATCTTAAGCTCTTAAAAGCAGCAGGAATGTGGGTACACGAGAATCGTTTTTTGTCTATAGTCTTTTTCAAAGAGAACCGATCGCACCAGTTGCGCTTCCTTTACACACAGTTGTTTCGCACAAGTAAACAGGAGCACAGGCGCTTTTTAACAGTCGTGCGCATCACATCACCTGTGCGTGTGAGTAATCATCCTCTCATAAGGTATTCACCTGCTTTCTCGCGCGAACACAGTTATTGTTATTAGTCGTGCTGCTTCTCGATTCTAAGATCACATTTGCACGCATATTGGGTAGGCTTGGGCGGTGTCCAAATTTTGATACCGTCAAACCGCCTCCATATTTTACCCCGGTTTCCGGTATTACCGGCGTAATAAAAAACTTATGATGTTCGGCTCAGACAGCTTCACCGAACTGTTGGCTTGAGCCTAAACCATTCAGAAACTGAATACCTTCTATGCGACCTTAGGCTCGCGGTCAGAGAGAGAGAGAGAGAGAGAGAGAGAGAGAGAGAGAGCAAGCGCCAAGCAACGCACAGCACCTCTCTCTCTCTCTCTCTCTCTCTTTCTCTCTCTCTCACACACACACACACACACTCCCGCGATTTATTCAGAAATTTACTCCCACACCATAAGAAATCTGGCCGGCTCCCGCGGTACTGCAGCGGGAATGCAGAGAGCTGTAATCGGGCCATAAAAATTATACCCGATAGGTCCCGAGTCCGACAGGTACATTTTGATTGACAGCTTTATATTTTAAGCCCGAACCCATTTACAGCCCGACATTATTCAAATGTGCTCATGCACACAGCTCTATTGCATTTTTTCAAGAATGAGTCATTTATATGTTTTAACATCATTTATTCGTAACAAACGTAGACTAGGCTATATGCCACTTGAAAGTTGGAACAAAGAAATAGCTAAAGTAAGTCCTCTGTAACATCGTAACATATCAGCACTCTATAGGTCTAGGTACATGCACTTAGCCTTTAAATTGGCCAACACACAAATGAAAAAAAATCTTTCTTAACAAATCAAATTAAAATAAACTCTAAATGATGACGGGTATTTTGGCAATAACGAAATTAAGATAAAGGCTGTGCAAGATGTGTTTCTCCACTTCTCTTCACAATCTGGCATTAGGGCTGCGGTGAAGCTGAATAATAAAAGAATAATGCCACCATTAGCCTGTATACTCTGTCTACATTATGATTATATGGTTTAATTAATATTTATTTATAATTGAAAAACGCTTTACTCACCAAGATTAGGCTACGTGTGTTTGTGGAGGAACATTATTAAATCCACTGGCTTTAGCGCAGTCCTGCGCTTACAGGGTCCAGCAGCTGAACACCCTTTCCTGCTGCTACAGGCCGAGATGCAGAGTTCTGATCTGGCTGATTTTGCAAGTTTTGGGTTGGATTGTTTGTTCATCTTCTACCACTCAGGAACATCCATTTAATTTTCCATGACTGTAGTTTCATTGTAGCGAGAGGCCTCTTCTTTTTACCTGTCAGCTTGCGGTTTAGGGCTCTACCGTAATACGCAGTTTATGAGCGACCGCGAAATACCTGCGGCTGGAATGCGCTCTTTCTGAGCTAGTGACTTGCTTGACCACCGTAATAATTTGCTTTTTTTACTACTTCATCATCATTTGTTTCACCTTTGCAGGGATGGATTTTAATGCAGGGATTTGGATTTTTTCGGGTCTCGCCGGGTTCGGGCAAAGATCTTCAGCTCTAATGCAGACCTCTCGTTCATATTAACCACGTCTCCCTTCTGTTCAGTCGAAACTGCCAAACTGCAGGACACTTTGAAGCGCGTCACGTCACGTCACGTCACCTCTCCCTCTCCCCCTCCCTCTCCCTCTTCCTCTCTCTCTCTCCTCCACACTGTCCCGTGATGACAACCACACATACGTTTTTGTAGGCATTAAATAAAGGATATTTAATATTTTATGACGGTATAACGGTATTGAAACTTACACCGTTGCTATTTTTAGATCCCGCGGTATACCATAATACCGAAATACCGCCCAAGCCTAATATTGGGCCATCATTATTGTCTAAGCCTGCTTTCAAAAAACTACAATGTAAAAATGATTTCCAACCTGCCAAAGTGGCTAGTGGGAGCGGCTGTCTAACCCGCCAAAGCTGAAATCTACCCGCACTTGGCAGGTTGGCGGGTGTTAATGTAAAGCCATGGTGGCTGGTATCTAATTTCAGTATTCGGTACCAATAACAGTGAAAATACACAGTCCTGTGTACCAAAGCAAAACTGAAAAAAACATGCTAAATAACCAAGCCACCATATTTATTAACACATTCAAGCAACTTATAAACAAATTAAAGGGTCTTTTATTTTCAAGATTTTTTAAACTTGTCTTTAAAAAAAACTTCTGGAAAAAAAAATTCTGCTTCAAAGACGTCCTACCTCATTTTCATCAGATTTTAAAAATATATTTAATTCTATTTATTTATTTATTTTGATTTATAGATTAGTTTTATAAAACATAGTTTTATATATATATATATATATATATATATATATATATATATATATATATATATATATATATATTTTTTTTTTTTTTTTTTTTATATAGTTTTATTATTGTGCCTGAATTATGCTGATGATTATGATAATTCATTCATCAACACACAATTGCTTCATGAAATGTTTTTTATTATAATTTGAATGTTAATATTCAAAGACATTTGTTTAGATTCTTTTCATTCCAGTGGAGTTAATACAGGTAATTACCAGATTATGTGTTGTTATCTTTAATATTATATTATTATAATATTACTATTATTATATATTAAATCGAGACATATAAATTTTAACTCTGTTTTATTGATGCATATCAGTCAATATAGTTAAAGAATCAAATGTAAAGAATATATAGACTAAAGCTGTTTGATATTGAAAAAAATTAACATTGCAATATTTTTTTTAATTCTGCGATATATATTGTGATATCAGTACAATTACACAGGATGACTTAATATCTCTATTTGAAAACAAATTATAATGTTAGATCGATTGGGATGATTCTGCAGTGGGAGTTCTTCTAATAAACAATCTTTTTTAGGGGTCACACATTTTCCTTGTGGTCTGTGCTATTTGCAGTGCATTTCTGTATATGCACTTGTGAGTATTTTGCATGCAAATCTATCTATCCTGCATAAAAAAACAATACAATGATTTATAAATATATTAGATTTCTTTGTTTTTTTGGGGTTCTTCCAAAATTGTACATTTAAAAAATGTTACAAATAAAAAAGATAGGGTAAACGCAGCTTAATACCAAGGTAAAAACATGTTTTGTCTGATGTTTCAGCATCCTGTACTGTTGACGGAAGCCCCGCTGAACCCCAGTAAAAACCGTGAGCGAGCAGCAGAGGTGTTCTTCGAGACCTTCAACGTGCCTGCGCTCTTCATCTCCATGCAGGCGGTTCTCAGTTTGTGAGTTTCTCTTTAAATCATCTTCTTCCTCACGTCACTCCTCATTTTCCCTCTCATACAAACCCTTCTCCCAACTGCCAGATACGCCACAGGCCGAACCACAGGTGTGGTGCTGGACGCTGGTGACGGTGTGACTCACGCCGTGCCCATATACGAGGGATTCGCCATTCCTCACTCCATTATGCGTGTGGATATAGCTGGACGGGACGTCTCCCGGTACCTCCGTCTCCTCCTGCGCAAGGAAGGCTATGATTTCCACACCTCTGCAGAGTTTGAGGTGGTGCGCACCATCAAGGAGGTATGAGACTTTTATAATGTCTATAATTTATAGATAATTAATAGCCATTTTTGGCTGCATTTACACTGCAGATCTTGATGGTCAATTCGGATATTGTGACAGTATCTGATTTTTTTTTTTTTTTGATGGTGCACCATTAAAGTAATGATGCTGTTGTTTTTCAGAGAGCCTGCTACCTCTCCCTCAACCCTCAGAAGGATGAAACTCTAGAAACTGAAAAAGCACAGTATACCCTCCCTGACGGAAGCACTCTAGATGTAAGAATGATTTTATCAGTATTACATTTCCAGTAATTTAAATAAGAAAAATTTTGTCATCATGAACTTGCTGTGGCAGGCAACATTACGCCCCATTCACACGGGGCGTCAACGCTTCCTATTCACTTTGAATGGGTGACGTCAGGCGTTGCCAAACTGCATTGTGGATCGGAAGCGCCAGCCAATCAAATCGCTGTATGCAAATACACCAGCTAGACAGTGGCCTATTGCTGACTGAATTTCATTGTCATATGACGATCGCGTTAGCCCCAACTTCAGACGCGCCTTCAGTCAAGCGTTGACGCTTAAGCCCCGTGTGAATGGAGCGTTAGGCAGTTAAAATAGTCTTGATGTTTAATATAAATGTTTCTTTATGAAAATTTCACTATAATTGCTGATTTTTTTCTTCTTGTATTTGATTATTTTTTGGTTATGAATACTGTTATTGTTGTTTTTTTGTTTTTATTGTTGAGTGAGGGGAACTAAACATGGAAATTACTTCCCCAGAGTCTCAGCGGGGTCTTAAAAAGTATTAAAAGTGGATAAATCAATGTAGAGAAATTTAAGACCCTTAAAAAGTATTAAAGTCTTACATGCTATTGTGCTATTACATTTTGTATCATTTTTGATTATGCAATGTAGGGTTGTATGCTAAAGTTTGCCTGAATTAAATCTGTGAATATCAAGATGCTCTGTATTTAAAAAAAAAAAATCTATGAAATCCTGATCGATTTGAAATCATGCTGCTTTTTTTTACTGCAGTAACCAAGGCATCACCATTATTTCTGCAGCTCTACAGGTGCCAACCTGCTGAATTTGCTAGATTTAATAGATTTTTATTCAGTATATAAATAATGTTTTAGTTTCGAATTAGTTTCTTACATTAATATTTAGTAAATATTCTGTAAGTTGAAATCTTGCCAGCGTTTCCAGTTGAATATATATATATATATAATTTTTTTATTTTTATAATTATTTATAAAAATCTTTTTTTCAGATGATAAGTTCTCATAATTTCTATGTAGAAACTTGCATTTTCTGAAAATGATTCTGAGAAATGGCCACAATTTAACCCCCCCTCCCTAAAAAAAAATTTGAAAACAAGTAATTTATGAGATCATTACATTGCTTGTTTGTTTTTGAAATTCTACATTTATATGTAGGCTCGCATGAATTTGGTGCGTGCAGAGATCCACAGATTTTTTTAGCCCATCACTGAATCTGTTTATTTATTTGTATAATTGTGTGCAAATATAAATTTGTTCAGTTTTTATATTAATTTAAGTAATATTATTACCTAATATGCAAATGGTTCATTTAAATTACAGTTTGTAAAGTAATATTTTTATAAATATTTTAAATTAGAGACTTGCTAGTGGCTCTGAACATTTTAAGTTTTTTGTTGCTATACTCTTAAAATAGTTTTGCATGAATTTATAGATCTTGTAAAATTTGGCGCTGAAATAGCCAAAAATATCCACAGATATTTGTCTGTCTGGTTGCGCTATAATAAACTATAATGGAGTATAATTTTCACATTTTCGGGTTTCTCAGTAGCGGACGTCATCACAGTTGGGTAAACGTAGAGCGCAGTGAATGAGAGACTACAACAAATCATTCGTTTACAATTTGATTTGCTGAAATGTTAAAAAAAAAAACTGGATAGTGCTATCAAGACTTTCAGAAAAAGGACAACAATAGTGTGAGACTGATAATGGCAGCCAGAAAAGTAAACAACATTCAATTACACACTGCATTATAACAAGCCCATACACACTGCATTAAAAACACCTCGCATAAGCAGTAACTTGTAATCTTTGCATATAAATGTTTATACATACAAAAAAATCTAAACGTTAAAAACTTTGGAAGATTTAAGATGCTGATGACCATTAAACGCATCATAACAGTCGTGTGAAAAGGCTCCATTGTTACCAAAGATTTGTAATGATTAAATGTTTTCATTTTTAATTTAATATCCTGCTTGATTATGCTACATTGCAGATCCATAGACTAGTTTTCATGAGAAGTGATGGTGTTTCTCACAGCTGTTTGTCTCCTGCAGATCGGCCCTGCGCGGTTTAGGGCTCCGGAGCTTCTCTTCAGGCCAGATCTGATTGGAGACGAGAGCGAGGGCATTCATGAGGTGCTGGCCTTCGCCATTCAGAAGTCCGACATGGATCTGCGACGCACGCTCTTCTCAAACATAGTGCTGTCCGGAGGCTCGACGCTCCTCAAAGGTGGAGTAAATTAATAGTTCAGTCTGTCTCTTTCAGTGCTTCATCTAGTTACATAAGTGAAACTAGGGCTTGGCGATATGACACAAATCGCTAACACTTCACTTGAAGGGGACTGACATTAATCATAAAAGGACACATGAATGAGATTTTAATCTTGCTTATAACAACTGTCATTAAGTCTCATTCAACTTTTTAATTGTTAAGATGACATGATTATGGCAATTTCACAATAACAAAAAGATCACACCCTTTTTTTTTGCCTTTGTCATAAGATCTTGACATAAATCTGCCATAAATGATTGTCATTAAGCCATTATAAATGTGTCATGAACTTTATAACGGTGTGATTAATATCTATTTAAAGCTCGGCTACAGTGAAACAAGCTGAATTTGTCATTAAAATATAATTAAATATTATTGATGCTCTTAAATTAGTAATGACACATTTAATGAGACATTTTAAGGACAAATACAGTGGAAACATGATCAAAAATATTCATGACAGTTATGGCCTCATGACAATCATGTTTATGACAGATTTATGACAAGTTTTGTTGTCTTGGTAATGTCAAGTTGTCATCTCAAACAGTGTCATCTTTGCATTTAAAATGACATCACTGAGCAAACGACAGTTAATAATAGTTGTCATGTTGGCACTAATAGCCTAGTGGTTAGTGCGTCGACATATAGCACCCAGGTGATGGCGGCGACCCGGGTTCAATTCCCAGCTCGAGGTCCTTTGCCAATCCTTCCCCTCTTTCTGCTCCCCACACTTTCCTGTCTGTTAATCTCCTCTGTCCTGTCAATAAAGGTGAAAAAAAACTAAAAAAATAAAAACAGTTGTCATAAGCATGCATAATCTCATTCACATTCATGGCATTTTTCATGACAGTCTTATAAACACCCCTTCAAGTAATGCCTAGTTCAGACTGCGTTATTTTAGCCCCGATTTTGGCTCGCAGACGCAATCTGAGAGAATCGCCGATGAGTCGCAGATGCCTGTGAGATATTTGGCGTCGGCGATTCAAATCATGCCGTGTGAAATGAGTTTTGACTGAAAATAACATCAGCGATCGCCTACAGCCAATGAGAGAGCAGCATTCACTTGTGTGTGTGTGTGTGTGTGTGTGTGTGTGTGTGTGTGTGTGTGCGCGTGCGCGTGCGTGTGTGTGTGTGTGTGTGTGCGCGTGCACGTGAACCTGCTGGCCAGCGGGAGGTTGAGGGAGAAGTTAAAAGTGCTCATTTTCAGTTTATTTGGACCCACGAAATGGAAGAAAAACTACTCGAGGTTTTAATTAACTAATTATTCTCACTTTTTTTTGAAAATGAATCGCGATTAATCACATTTAGAATAACACTTGTTATTTTGGCTATTCAAATGTAAAATTAATGTAAACGCAAGAAAAAAAACTATTTAAATTCAAAATATAATTTTTTATTAGAATTTTTGTTTAACTTGTTACACAGATTTCTTCATGTAAACAAAATACCCACAATAAACCATCAAGATCCTGGCTTGACAGCCATATTTATTACAGAAATTAAAACACAGGCATGTTAGCGCCATTTGAGTTTCAAAACAATCAATCCCAATAAAGAAAACATTGATTTCCGAGTTGTACTCTTAAGTGGACTGCAAAAAAATGCCAAAATACCGGCATTGCAGATATGGAAAATGGAAAATTATGATAATAATAATAAAGTATTGAATACAAACAATTACACTCATTGTAAAGTTGTGTTGCTGTGAGTTGAGTTGTCCTCCATTACATGCAGCCAGTTGCAAAAAAAAATAAAGAGAGAGAGAGAGAGGCGCGCTGGACAGCGCAGCAGGAATGACTCCCTTCAGATTCAACACGTGTGATAACGTTCATCAAATTTGCTTAAACTAAACACTTTAAAGTATGGCTGTATTTCACAAGGATTGTGACACAACAATGCGAAGCATACGCTTGCGTTTAAGGGGGATACACATCAAACTTAATTAAAAAGATTGGAGGGCGCATGCTGAAGGCAGAGTAATGCGCTGTCTGACAGCTCGCGACTTCATCCGGTATGGACACCAATACTACGATTTTAATATAATTAAGATAATACTCTTATTATGAGTCTACCATGTAAGCAGCGATCCACGATTCCATTTCTCATGCGGTTTCAAATTCCATTAAAACAGAAGTCGAAAGTTAAAAATGAAACACCGGAAATTGCATGAAACTCTGGAGAGCCTGGTGATGCACATTAGTTCTTTTATACTGAAACTTGCGTTCAAAAAGTGCTTCCTTTGTCTTATCCATGGTTCTTTGCACGATAAACAAACGTCAACGACAACAGGAAATGAAAAAACCTGCAACTACGTTAATTGCGTTAATTTTTTTTAACACATTAATTACTTCAAATTAATCGCATACATTAACGCACTAATTTTGACAGCACTAATATATATATATATATATATATATATATATATATATGTGTGTGTACTCTGAAATGTATTCATTAGTATATGATAATATTTCTTTATTTAAAACTTCAGGGCAAATGTTTGAAGAAAAAATGTAGACAAAACAAATTGTTATTAAAATACTTTTAAAAAAACGATGACTACCGGTACAACACTTAAAAATAAAAAATATTGCTAATTAAAAAGCAAAATGTAAACATTATACTTTCAAGATTGTAACTTTCTCACCATTCTGTTATTAATGTTTCCATAATGGAGGGAAATGATCCTCTCATTTATATTATAAAAAAATATTACTGTAAACTAGTGTTGTCAAGTATCGAGTATGAGTTGATACCGAACTCGATACTTTTGACAATACTACTGTAAACAATGTATTTTGTGACACAACAAATAATATTTTTTTGCCCAATTTTTTTGCACATACGATGTATATCATCATATTCTACAGCCCTCTGTGAAATTGTCTTTTTGTTCCTCACAGGTTTTGGAGACCGGTTGTTAAGCGAAGTGAAGAAACTTGCCCCCAAAGACGTTAAAATTAAGGTGACTGCCACGTCTGAGAAGTGTTAGCTTTGTGTGGGAACTATGTGTTGCTAAATGTTTACTTCTTGTTTCAGATATCTGCACCGCAGGAGAGACTTTACTCAACATGGATAGGGTAAGAACAAAGTATACTGATTCTTGTAGCAATAGTAAAGTCATATGTTTAAATAAATTAAGTCTGTTTAGCAAAGATGTGTTAAATTTGGCAAACCATAAGCTATTATAAAATATTATAGGAATATTCAAAAGTATTAAGCAGCCCAACTGTTTTTACCATTGATAATTGACAATGGTTATCATAAATGGTAAAGATTTTGACATTAGTTATATTTTAGCACGATGTGGATTGTTAATGCTTGTAAATCGTGCCAGTAGTGGTAGGTAAAACAGGTTCTATGAATTCAGACATAATACTTTTTTGTGACAATGTTTTCTACAACAGATTAGGGAAGTATTCAATTTCAGATACAGCCTGTGTGTAAATAGCAGTGTTTTCCTATTTCCTAAATTTAAACGTGTATTGTTTTTCTTATGATTTACCATGTATACGTAGACATTACATGAAACATCAGGTCATGAAAATTGACTTGAAAGTTTTTTTAGTAAAAATGTGTATGAACCCTGCTATTATGTTTATGACGGATTTATAACGAGTTATAGTACCTTGGAAATGTCAGGTTGTCATAAAGACATCTCAAACCTCATTCCAAATGATCAAATCAGATGCCTAGTAGTTTGTTGTAACGCACACGTTACTGAACATGTACCGAGTAAAATATTACTGAAAATATGTTAGTAATGCCTTACACTACTGCGTTACAGGAAAAAGTAATACGTTACTGTAATACACTCCTTCTGTAACGCATTACTCACAACACTGCTGGAGAAGCATCAAATTCTACAAAACTACTTGCCAAGCTTTTGATTAAATTTGATATTAGGAATCACCAATGAAATTAAACAACAACTGTCCCTTTAGTTTCATCTCTAAACGTCCAAATCACTCAAAATCTGCAAAACTGGGTCCAAGCCCCTCCTCCAGAGTATCGGTGGTCTATAGCGATTGATGATTGGCTCCTGTACTAGAAGGAGGGCTTTATTCATCATATAGCGATCAATGATTGGCTCCTGTACTAGTTGGCGGGGCTTTATTCACCATACTGACAGTTACACTTTGCGTATTCTATAGTCTTTGACAAAATAAACATAAGTGTATGGAACCAGATTAGTCTCAAAAGAAATTCACGCAAAAGACACGACGTACACATGCATAGCCAAATTCACGTGCATGAAACCAAATTCACGTGCGTAAAATATTTATTTTATATTTATTAGTGAGGATATGGTCAAATAAATAAATACATTTAAAAAAAGTGCGACTGCTGCTTTCTCCGTTCGCCATGCTGGAGAGGAACAGTCTGCGCAAAAGAAGCGCAAAGTTGGTTTTATTGAATACAGCTCTCATCTGATTGGCTGAAAGGTACAAGTAGTCCTGACTCTGGCAGGAAAGTCTCAAAAATACACACACACGTATTCAGGGGGAGTCGTACGTGAAAGAGGATTTGCACATTCTCATTCAGGATGAACTCGCAAGTTTTAAACATTCGAAACTTTTTGTACACTCTTATACATTTGCAAATGGTGTTGCATTTGTGAAACGTATTTTATGAAAATGTATTTTTATTTTGTGCACGTGAAATTTTTTTGTGAATATGAATAAATATTTTACGCACGTGAATTTGGTTTTATGCACGTGAATTTGGCTACGCATGTGTACATCGTGTCTTTTGCATGAATTTCTTTTGAGACTAATCTGGTTCCATATAAGTATGGGTCTTGTGAACACCTCCCAGTTTGCTATTAGCCTTTTTAAAGGTTATGCTACTCTCTTGTTTTTTTTTTTTCTGGTAAATTTCTTTTTATTTTATTTTCAAACAGGGGATCCATCCTAGCATCACTCGACACCTTTAAGAAAATGTGGGTCTCCAAGAAGGAATATGAGGAAGATCGTGCGCGCGCCATTCACCGGAAGACATTTTAACAGGGCTTAAAAGTCCGCCAGCCTCCCTCTCATCTCTGCGGTTTCACATCCCCTTCTCTCGCTTGACCTCTCCCCTCTGTTTTCTCCCTTTCTCTCCACCCAAATCCCTTAAATCCTCCATCCGCAGTGAAGGCTTGCCCTCCGCGTCCCTTGCCCAGGACATCGGCAAAAAAAAAATCGGGACGCAACCGGACATCCCTTGCACCCATCAGTCACCGATTTCAGGGCATCAGTCAATACTGTTTCATTTTAAAAAGCCAATGCTTCAATTCAGCGCTTACATGTATGTATTTATTACACTATTATACCCTGTATGATACCGTCATATCTAATGCAAAACATGAAGGTGAATGTTTCACTCGGTTGTAAGAATTTCATTCCAGAAAACGAAGATTTATCGTTTTATTTAGACGTCAACGTTGTATTTTTATTCATTCGATGCATCGCTCACTATTACAACAGTTGGCTTTAATAGACACTACTGTGTTTGCTGTCATTTCCCTTCACCGGGAGCTAAATGATGTAAACAGAAGCACACGGTAGGCTAGATTCATCGCTGCTTCAATTAAAAGTGTTATTATTATTGATATAAAGCACATTTTGTTCGTTAAAAGGAGTGAGTGGAAACGCATCAAGTTGTTTACCGTCTTTTTTTGTTGTTGAATTATGTAATTGACTTGATGCAAGCATTAGCCCCTTCGACTTGACTACATTTCCCATGATTCTCATGTAGTTTTGAGAAGCAGAGCTTTAATGAAGTCGTCCAGTGAGTTCTACCATCATTGTGGCACGATGTAAATTCTGACTCTTCCCCGAAATCTCCAGATTTAGTGCATGAAATCAACAACGGCGACCGAGATTGTGTCATTTCTGTGTAAATCTCATGGTTTTTGAAGGCTGAATGGATTTCTGAGCTCTTCTGGCACTAGTATTTCAGTAGTGTTTGTCGGGATGATGGGTAGCAGGGTTGCGTTGAAGTCCAGTTTGTCCTGACTGAGATCCGCCTCTAAGATCCGTCATTGGGATGTAGAGCATCTTGGTCGTTTTTCTTTTTAAGAGATATAGAAATATCATCATAAGCCTTGTGTACAGTGGGTTGCTATTCAAAACTGTTAAAAAAAAAAAAGAAAAACGAAAAAAAATAAGGACTAAAATGTACAAACCGGTTTCTTCAATTGTTGCTTTTTCTTTTAATTTTGTAAATTCAGTATGATGAATAAATTAATGCTGTCTGAAGCGAGCGTCTGTGTTTTCTGCGTCGTGTGCTGTTGCTGATGTTGGTAACAGTGGTTTTCAACACTGCTGATTTTCGGCATGTGGTTCGTGACATTTTAGTACAGCAAAACCTCATGCTTTGAAAACATTAAGTAGAATGCATTGAAAATTTATTTTGCCTACAGGTTATGCTTTTCAGGTTCACTTTTACATGAATATTTACTGTTTTATAAAAGGCATAGCTCACATTAAACTAAATATAGAACTTATATACACACACTGGCCACTTTATAGGGTACATCTGTCCAACTGCTTGTTAACTAATCAGCCATTCACATGCATTTTATGCATGTAGACATGGTCAAGACGATCTGCTGCAGTTCAAAGCAAGCATCAGAATGAGGAAGAAAGGGGATTAAAATGACGTTGAACGTGGCATGGTTGTTGCTGCCAGACGGGCTGGTCTGAGTATTTCAGAAACTGCTGATCTACTGGGATTTTTACGCACAACCATCTCTAAGGTTTACAGAGAATGATGAAAAAGGAAATATCCAGTGAGCGGCAGTTCTGTGGGCCAAAATGCCTTGTTGATGCTAGAGGTCAGAGGAGAATGGCCAGACTAGTTCCAGCTGATAGAAAGGCAACAGTAACTCAAATAAGCACTCGTCACAACCGAGGTCTGCAGAAGAGCATCTCTGAACACACAACAAATCCAACCTTGTGGCGGATGGGCTACAGCAGCAGAAGACCACACCGAGTGCCGCTCCTGTCAGCTAACAACGGGAAACTGAGGCTACAATTCACACAGGCTCACCAAAACTGGACAATAGAAGATTGGAGAAATGTTGCCTGCTCTGATGAGTCTCCATTTCTGCTGCCACATTCAGATGGTCGGGTCAGAATTTGGCATCAACAACATGAAAGCATGGATCCATCCTGCCTAGTATCAACAGTTCAGGCTGGTGTTGGTGTAATGGTATGGGGGATATTTTCTTTTCTTTGGGCCCATTAGTACCAACTGAGCATCGTGTCAACACCACAGTCTACCTGAGTATTGTTGCTGACCTTGTCCATCCCTTTATGACCACAGTGAACCCATCTTCTGAGGCTGCTTCCTGCAGGATAATTAATAACAACATGACATTTTTAAAACGTAAAAATACTTGTGAACCAAGCAAAATGTAATATATTTAAGTAAAAGGGCTAGATATATTCTACATAAGTTTTTTGACTGAAATAAAACTGTTATAAAGGATATTTTTGACATCTTAATGGTTAAACCGCTGTATAATGTTTCTATAGAAAGTGTGGGAGATTTCCGTATTGTACACTAGGATGTTTTTCGTCTTAATTGGCGGAATTAAACAAAGTATGATCAAGAAGCGTTTTATCAAAGCAAATTTGAACTACAACCGTAAACGACTCTGATTCAGCCTTACTGGCCAGCGATGAGAAAAGTAACAGATACCACATGACTAATTAATCTGCGAAGTTTCTTCAGATTTCTTGGTTTAAATAAATAAATATCAACACCCAAAAATTGCGTACACATTTAAATGCAATTCCACACGTTTTAAAAATAAAAACAAATATTTAATACTCGTACTTGACCAATCAGATTAAACATTCGCTCATCTAACCCCGCCCACTCTGGACTTGCTTTATTCATTAGTCAATCCTGCTTGCTGTAGTATTTCTAGGGCGGAAGTAAACAGTGTTAAGATATAGTCGGAAATGCCTCAATGTTTAACAATAACGTGGAATTTAAAACGATTTTAAACACCGAAGAGCCTCATTACAGCCTCAGATATGAGAAGAGTCACGCTGTTTGTGAACGGCACATCACACAACGGCAAGGCGAGTGTGTTTTTAATATACTGCCTGTCTATTACACTATTAAAGCACGATTGTTTATTTAATATAAGGTTATTTGTGGCTTTTATATCAGGTGGTGGCAGTTTATGGGACTCTAGCTGATCTACTGTCGGTTGCAAGCGCAAAATTCGCTATAAAAGCTGCTAATGTTTACAATGGGAAAGGAGGTCTTATTGATGATATAGCCCTCATCAGGTAAGAACAATAACTAGTTTTATTGTATATATTTCATTGTTGTTATCATGTAACATAGGTGTTTCTCTTAACAGAGACGACGATGTCTTGTATATATCAGAAGGAGACTCTTTTGTTGGTGAGTTTAAAGTTATTTAATTTGAGACCACAGAACTGTTATTAATACACTTCAAGTGAGGAATAGTTGATGGTGGGCTGTTGAATTATTAGAAAATAATGCACACCACATGTGGAGCGGAGTGTTTGTTACACCTCAGGTTATGTTCTTATAATTTAATGGACCAGAGTGCATTATTCTGCTTATACCACAGTTAAAAGACACTGTTCACATGTTGTATTTCAGACATTTGTCAGGGTTTTGTGCTCAAACTGCTCCTGTGTGTAGGACTAGTTTCAAACAAATGTCATCCAAAGTCTTCAGTTGTGTTTTGATGCGATTTATAGACTTTAAAGGGATCTTTTTAAGGTTTGATTGTGTTTATGGGGTGAAAAGAATGTGTGCTTATGCTTTATTTGTAAAAATAAATCTATTTTTTTACACCTCTTACTAGGGCTGCATGAGATTGGAAAAATTTAACATTGTGATGTTTTTTTTTTCTCTGCGATACATATTGTGATATAAATACAATTTCACCTAATTTATAAATTAAGATTGCCAATCAGAATCGAGTTTGCAACAAACCTGTATTATAATGTGTATTATTTGAATAATTTCCTGCAGATCCACCAAATAACCCAGAGAGTGTGCACGAGTTTAACTCCTGGGCTCACACAGACTGGATCACACTCAATGTTGGAGGCCGACGGTTCACAACCACACGGTAATTCACCGCCACACTAAACACTGAGCTCTTTTACTGTAATCCAGAATTACAAACATCACAACAAATCATTTCTTGACTGTTTGCATGCCAAGTCTCAATATTTCATTCTCGTTATGGTGATGTGAAAGAATTTCATTCATTCATTCATTTTCTTGTCAGCTTAGTCGCTTTATTGATCCGGGATTGCCACAGCGGAATGAACCGCCAACTTATCCAGCATGTTTTTTATGCATTGGATGCCCTTCCAGCCGCAACCCATCTCTTGGAAACATATGCACTCATACACTACAGACAATTTATCCTACCCAATTCACCTGTACCGCATGTACAACTGTGGGGGAAACCGGAGCACCCGGAGGAAACCCACGCGAATGCAGGGAGAACATGCAAACTCCACACAGAAACGCCAACTGAGCCTAGGTTCAATCCAGCGACTTTATTGGTGTGAGGCGACAGCATTACCTACTGCGCCACTGCCTCACCTTGTGAAAGATTAAAAAAAAAAATGTAATATTTAATTATCGGTCACACTTTACAATAAGCTTTCTATAGTTAATGTATTTACTAACATGAACTAGTTATGAACAATACTTGTAAAGCATCTATTAATCACAGTTTACTAACCCATTATTAACTTCCAAAGTCATGCTTCTTATCATTAGTTAATGTGAAGTAACATGAACTAACAGTGAACAACTGTATTTTCAATAACTAACTTGAACAAATACTGCAATAAATGTGTTATTCATTGTTTGTCCATGCTAGTAAGTGCATTAACTAATACAACCTTATTGTAACGTCTTATGGAATTATTTACTTATTTATTATTTCAACTGAGTTTTATATTATTTAAACTTGATGTGTATATTAAAATACACAAATGTATTTCAATTCTATATGGCAATTTAAATAGAGGTTGAGAAACATTTAGCTTATTTCAGTCTATTATTTGTATTAGAAAATGATTATTCATTAATTATTAAATTATTATTTGTATGTTTTATCATGCCACTGATAAAACTTGAGAGATTTTTTTCAACTGAACCCTTTAAATTTGATTTTTGTTAAAAATAATTGTGATTTTTTTACTTTCTGGTTATTGAACATAATTATAATCATCGATGAGAAAATATGAATTGTTAATAAAAGGAATATATATAATAAAAGGAATATATACATTGAATATATAATGTTAATGAAAATTACCAAATGGTATTGAACATTTGCAATGTTTTGTGTGTATTTCAGTGTTGTTTATTTATGTTGAGAAATTATATATATATATATATATATATATATATATATATATATATATATATATATATATATATATATATAGGTTATTTAATGTGTGTTTTTAATCTCTATATGTTTTTGATGCATTTCCTTCAGGTTAGTTTTAACATTTTAAGATAAAGCTAATGGGAACATTGCAGCTTTAGCCAGCTGAAATTAAAGAAAATAATACAAATAATCTTATGTTTTTTTTATATTTTAAGTAACAAACCTTGTTTTGTGGATTTATTTAATTTTTTACATTATTTGCCCATTGATGTCTGATGGTTTTAACACTTAAACTCTTTTCTGTGATTTTTATTAGGAGCACTTTGGTCAAAGAAACGGAGAGTATGTTGGCTCACATGTTCAGAGACAAAGGTGATAGTTTATCCTGTTTGTAATGTTCAGAAAATCTCATTTGCTCATGCTTTTGAGTCTTACAGCGTTTATTAATTGTATTATTATTGTTTCAGATGTTTGGGGGAACAAACAGGACGAGCAAGGAGCATATCTCATCGATCGCAGCCCGGATTACTTTGAGCCCATTCTGAACTACCTGAGACACGGACAGCTCATTATTAATGACGGCATTAATCTGCTCGGTGAGATACATACAGATTAGCATATGATACACCTATTTTTTTATCATGCTGTTGGTTTCTTGAGGTCTGCTTATTAAAGGGATGGTTAATTAAAAAAATATGTAAACTTGCTAATTTACTCACCATCAGGTCATACAAGATGTTGGCGACTTTTCTTCAATACAACAAATTAACTGATTTTAAGCTAAAACTTTGGCCTTTGTTAATACATAAAAGATGGCTAATATTTTATTGATCTAGTCCCAAGACAAGAGCGCAAAGGCAATAAGGGTGTGTATTTTAAGGACTGAAAAATACGCTTTGCGCCCTGACGCATGGTTGTGCTTGTTCTCCTTATACGTTCTGGGTGTTTTTTTATCATAACGTGCATTAAACCAATCAGAGTCCCATCTTTCATTCCCTTAAAGAGTCTGTTGCGTCGTGCAATAAAACATTTGCTATTTCTTACTCTGTAAGTGTAAAAACTAAACGCTTTACTAGAGGGAAAACAGTTGAACAGAGCATCTGCAGCACGAGGATAAAGAACGAGCCTCCTCCATTCTGCCTCTATACTTTTAATCTTTACTTTTACTCTTTACTTTTTTGGAGTAAGGAAATGATGGAAACTCACTCCACTGAACACATCCATTAGCCTAAATATTTAATTTCCTTTGTTAAGCGCAAAGATTTGTGTCAAAACTATTTCTTTATTCAGTTCTAATTTCCAGCAAAGGAATAAATGAACAATAATAACGAAGTGTGTTCAAATAACTGAGTGATATCCAAACACACGTCCTGTTCTTATACCCCATATAGTGATACAGACATCTCCAAAACCCCACAGGTGGACAAATCTAAACTTGTTTTTATTAAAACAAATATAAATATGCAGATGATAAATAATACTGCTAATAATAACATATAAAACTGCAAATTGTCATAAATGAACTGAAAAAGCCCCTCGAGGTGAAGAAGGCATGGAGGCAATGGTTATATTAATGTAGTATTATTCAAAAGAAGGTAATGATTCGCACTCAATTGCTTCATACTGTTTTTATTTTTACTTTTTCTTACATTTTACGGGTGATAACAGACAAACAGACGTTTCGGCACAAAGCCTTCCTCAGTGTGTGACACATTCTCCAACTCCACCCTTTTATTCCATAGTCAATCACAATGTGCAATTAGTTAAACCGTCACTCTCATTTCATTATCAATTAATCACACAATAACTTATAATCTTCACAGCAATGACAATAAACATTCTTCCCATTTCCGACCTCACTCCACAGAGATAAAGTGCATCAACCACCATCACTAATCAGGTGTACATCAATACAAAAAATTCTAACAGTTGACATTAAAAGTTTTCTACATTTAACAATTACTCAAACATTGTATATACACACAAAAAACCGCAAGCGCGCAGGACAAACTTCAGTAACTCTGCACACGTTATATTAATGTACAAAATAATTTTTGTAACATTTTAATACTTTAATTGTTTTCATATATAAAGATATTTGTGTTTTTTTGATCATCCTGTGTGTATTCAACGATGTGTAAGTATTTGGGCCTCATGACTAACTCGCTCTGCGCTGGACTTTAGAGCAGCTTTTAATTGGTCAATGCCATTTCAGTTCCTCAAAATAACAACGCACCAACAATGCGCCTTAACACACCTCCTTTTCAGACCAGCACACTCATACGTCCACAAAAAGGTGCAAATGGATTTGCTAGTTAAAGATGCAGTAGGTGATCTTCCACAATGCTAACAGCTTAGCATAAATCTCTGAATCATAGTCTCTCCCCTGCCGTCCAGAGAAAACGTAAAAGTTACTGTTACGCTGGTCTGAAAATAACAACAAATGACGCCAGACACGTCTTGTGTCTTAAGAAAGCCAAATTTAAGAGCAGGTCACATGGTATTTTTAAAGCGTCCTAATACAGTGTTGAAGTCCTCTACAACATGTTTAAATGCATCCAAGCTCAGAAATCGTTGTAATTTTTTCAGAATATGCACATAATATTAGAATAATTTTGCATTGATTTCGATACAGTTCGTTTGAATCCATTTTTAAAGCCCCTCCCCCATCCTTAAGCCAACTCCGCTCTGATTGGTCAGCTGGCCAAGCCTGTTTTTGTATCTATTCCTTGTCAGAAATGAAATGCCCATTCCAGACTGTTCATATCTCTCGGGTGGGCGGGGATTATGCAGATGAGTTCGGCCATGATATAGATCAGTAAACAGGATACAGTCATCAATATAATATCTAATTTTGGCAATTCTTTATTTTAAAATATAAGCAAACTCCTTTTTCTCCAATTTCGTTAACTTTCTAATATGCAAATGAGCTCTGTTACGATTGGCTAACCTCTCTGCATGTAAAATGAGCACCTGTGCAACATTATTTGTCCAGGCGTTCTAGAAGAAGCTCGTTTCTTTGGTATTGAACGACTCGCTGAGCAGCTTGAAGGTGTTATTAAGGTAAAAAAACATTACGAATAAGGTGCAGTAGTGACTTATTGAATATGACCATAATAACAGGGATGTCTCTCCTTTTCTTTAGAATTCCCAGCCTCCTGATGATCATTCACCTATCTCTCGGAAAGAGTTTGTGCGTTTTCTTCTTGCCACACCAACTAAATCTGAGCTTCGCTGTCAGGTAGGAGGACCTGAGTTTTTTTTATTGGTTAGTTTAATTTAGTGGATTGTTTACACTTGGTATAGTTTGATAGAGTATGGAATGATATGCATTTATACCAATAGGGTCAGCCATTTAATAGTGAGAAGTGGTTTTCTCTGATCTGTATCTTAAATAAAATAATTAAATCAAATAATAGATCAAATAAATATACATTTGACCACCCATATAATGGTTCATACCATTGTGAATGCATAATCGCTAGGCCTGTCACGATATCTATTTTTTGTTGTCTGACATATTGCACTAAAATATATTGCGATAAACGATATTATTGTCATTTTAAGGCCATCTTATGCCACTCATCACCAGAATGACAACATGATATCATCACTAAAGGGACTAAGCTGAAGGAAAATGAATGAATGAACTTGAATATTCAACATCTGAAATTTAAGACAACAGAATTTTTTTAAGGCAGATTTTCATAGATATATTTTCAAACTTCAGATTTTTTTTGTTCTGAGGGGTGTCCAAACTCAGTCCTAAAGGGCCGGTGTCCTGCAGGTTTAAGCTCCAACTTACCTCAAAACACCAGCAAGGTTGGTTCTAGTAAGTCTAGTAAGAGCTTGATTAGCTAGCCCATGTGTGTCTGATCGGAGTTGGAACTAAACTTTGCAGGACCGAGTGTGGACACCCCTGGTTTAAAGTTTTCAAGATGAAGAAATTCAGATCATCAAATTCAATATATTAAAATTAAATTGCAATTGTCAATTATTCAAATGAACACAATTCAAATTTGGATTGATTTGGCATATTTTAAGCTCCATAGTATTACACAAATTAACAAATTGACCCACTCGATCGTCTATGTGCATAGGCGGGATGTGACGTAACACATATCTAGGCCCACACGGAATCTGCGAGCGCAGAATTCCGCAGATTTTCTGCAGAATTCCGCAGATTTCTGCAGATTTTTAGCCCATCATTAATTCTGTTTATTTACTTGAGTAAATGTGTAGATCTGAATTTATTCAGTTTTTATTCAGTAATTTATTACTTTTTATTTCATATATTAAGGTTTTAGTTATGATACTCCACTGGATACTCCCAAAATAATTCTGCAGAAATCCACAGATTTTTACCAAAATTCTGTGCTGAAATAGCAAAAAATGTCCGCAGATTCCGTCTGGCCCTGCACATAACTTTTGTAATGCAGCTCTCAGTTGAAACCATTCATAGTTGTGCATTATTTCAGTGTGTTCGGTTTTCTCCCAGGGCCTGAATTTCAGCGGGACAGATCTGTCTCGTCTTGACCTGCGTTACATCAACTTTAAGATGGCAAACCTCAGCCGATGTAACCTCACTCACGCCAACCTCTGTGGAACCAACCTGGAGCGGGCAGACCTGTCCAGCGCCAACCTAGACGTGAGAATTTACCTGTCACTTTTCATTATTTTTATTAATAAAAAAAATATTGAACTTGGCCATGATAGTCAAAGTCCTGCATTTTTAAAAACATTTAGTAGGTTTGATCAGGAATGAGGTTGACTTTACCACATTTACGCAACAACATCAAAAAATCTAATTAAAATACACTTACAGGCCACTTTATTAGGTACACCTTACTAGTACCAGTTGGACCCTTTTTGCCTTCAAAACTGCTATAATCCTTCATGGCGTAGATTCAACAAGGTACTGGAAATATTCCTCAGAGATTTTGCTCCATATTGACATGATAGCATCACACAGTTGCTGCAGATTTGTCGGCTGCACATCCATGATGTGAATCTCCCGTTCCACCACATCCCAAATGTGCTCTATTGGATTGAGCTCTGGGGACTGTGGAGGCCATTTGAGTACAATGAACTAAATTCTGACCCTACCATCCGAATGTTGCATAAGAAATTGAGGCCAGGCAAAATTTTTCCAATCTTCTATTGTCCAGTTTTGTTGAGCCTGTGTGAATTGTAGCCTCGGTTTCCTGTTCTTTAGTGGATTTTTTTTTCATCCTGTAGTAAATTTGAACAATACACAAGGGTTAATACATAAAATGTAAATCAATAGTTGCTACACTTTGAGAGTCAAAAAACACAAAGCAAAATTTAAGAGTAGGTCACATGTATTTTCAAGAGTCCTAATACAGTGTTGAAGTCCTTTACAACAGGTTTAAATGCATCCAAGCTCAAAAATCATTGTCAGTTTCTCAGAGTATGCATACAATATTAGAATAATTTAGCATTCATTTCGATATGGTTAGTTTGAATCAATTTCTGAAGCCCCTCCCCATCCTTAAGCCAACTCTGCTCTGATTGGTCCTCTAGCCAATTCTGTTTTAATTGGTCTTTCCTTAACTATTCCATGTCAAATGAAATAGTGTTCGAATGTCACAGGTGGGCGGGGATTATGCAGATGAGTTACTTTAATCATGTTTATGTAGATCAATAAAATCCAAAGAATCTAAAATATTGATTTATTTTATTCCTCCACTTTCTTGTTTTATTTCTTCTGTTGCCCTGTGATGCTGATTTTCTCTTTCTGCCTGTGTTTTTACCAGGGTGCCAATTTACAGGGCGTCAAAATGCTGTGCACCAATGCAGAAGGGGCGTCTCTGAAAGGCTGCAATTTTGAGGATCCCGCAGGACTCAAAGCTAATCTAGAAGGTGAACGAAACGAACACACTTGACCTAACGTGCAAAACTGACAAGTTACTGTAATTATATGACTGATCCACTGTATAAAGTGAGGGATTACTGTTCATTTATAGCTCATTTAATTAGTTACTATAACTAGGCTCACACAGAATCTGCGAACAGTTTTTGCTATTTCTGAGCAGAATTTAGTAAAAAAAAAAAAAAAATGTGGGATGATTTTGGGAGTATCAGAACTAAAAGCTTTATATATGAAATAAAAAATTGTTCATGAGTGAGGGAAGGATGGAGTGTGAGATTGACAGGCGGATTGGTGCAGCGGCAGCAGTAATGCGGTCGATGTAACGGTCGGTTGTGGTAAAAAAGGAGCTGAGCCGAAAGGCAAAGCTCTCGATTTACCGGTCAATCTTTGTTCCTACTCTCACATATGGTCATGAGCTTTGGGTCATGACTGAAAGGACAAGATTTCGGATACAAGTGGCAGGAATGAGTTTCTTTCTCAGGGTGGCAGGACACACCCTTATAGACGGGATGAGCAGCTCGGTCACCCAGGAGGAGCTCGTAGTACAGCCGCTGCTCCTTCACATTGAGAGAAGTCAGCTGAGGTGGCTCGGGCATCTGTTTAGGATGCCTCCTGGACGCCTAACTAGGGAGGTGTTTTAGGCATGTCCCACTGGAAGGAGGCCTCGGGGAAGATCCAGAACACGCTGGAGGGACTATGTCTCTCGGCTGGCCTGGGAACGCCTCTGGATCCCCCCGGAGGAGCTGGAGGAAGTGTCTGAGGAGAGGGAAATCTGGGGTTCTCTCCTAAGACTGATTGCCTCTGTGATCCAGCCTCGGAAAAGTGGAAGAAAATAAATAAATTTAAAAAAAAAATGTTTAGCTTTTATTTAATGTTTGCAATGCAAATACAATTGGATCCACTTATTTGGTAAACAAAGCAAGTCTCTCATATAATGCATCTACTAAAAGACAGAAAATATGACTGTAAACTGTATTGTAAATAAATCATATTAACATTTTCATATTAGTCAATAATATTACTGAAATTACTTTAAAAACTGAATGAATATAAGTTTACACACATTTACACGAGTAAATAAATCGACTCAATGATGGGCTAGAAATCGGCAGATTTTTGCACGTACAGATTCTGTGTGAGCCTACTCATAAGTTACTTGCCTTAAATATAGTAAATCAATGTTCAGTATAAACATAGTAAAACAGTTCTTTATAAATCAATTAAAGAAGCAGAGGAGTTGTAATATTGTTTCATGCATATCTATTTTGCAGATTTTTTTTATTAAAAAAAGTTACATTTTTCAAAACTGTTTAGTCAAATATATAAGCAAAATTATTATTTTTATTTTCTTAAACAAATTTAATAATAGTTTAAATTACTCATCTCTAATAACTGATTTTTCTTTTATCTTTTATTTCAGCTTAAAGTGACATGTAAAGGCTTAACTAGGTTAATTAGGCAAGTTAGGGTAATTAGGCAGGTCATTTTATAACAGTGGTTTGTTCTGTAGACAATCAAACATATAATTTCCAAATGGGGCTAATAATATTGACCTTAGCATAGCTAAATATGTTTTTAATTCCAGCCAAACTAAAAGAAATAAGATTTTCTTCATAAAAATCCGAGCAAAAACCCTTGCTGTGTTAAACATCACTCTGGAAAAATAATTGCATTTTCACAGAATTTATTGTTTTGTCTCTGTATGTATGTTCTGTATGTATAATATTTTGAACAACAATTTACATTTTGTCATATTTTTAATTAATATTTCTAAAACCCATCTATCAAATGGTGGAGATTGTGAATAACAATGCTTTAAAGCCCTGCCTTTTGAAATTGTTACTTTTTCTTTCTGAATGTTAATTTTCTTTTGTACTTTTATATGTCTTTAGTGGCAAATCATGCCTCCAAGTTATGGAATCTTCAACGAATGATCATCCTTTAATTGATAATATTTTAACTAAAGTTCACCAACTACAAAATCAGTTTTATCACATCATTTTTTGCTGGGTTCCTGGACATGTCGGACTTTTAGGCAATGAGCGAGCTGATGCAGCTGCTAAAGATGCTTTGAAGCAAGTAGTGAACAAAGGCCAAATTCCTCCGTCAGAGATGAAACCTTTTATCAATGCTTACATTTTAAACAAGTGGCAAAAGGAATGGGCTGCATTAGAAAACAATAAACTACATGAGATCCAACCTGAAGTTTCACACAGAATTTTAAGACATTTTAAGAATCGATTTGATCAAGTAGTTTTTACCAGATGTCGTATTGTGCATACGAGAATTACACATGGTTTTTTGCTCCAAGGTGAAAACCCTACTCAGTGTTTGTGCTGCAAAACTCCTCTTACTATAAAACACATTTTACTGGACTGTCCTGCTTTTACTGATTCCAGAAGGACTTTTTTTATGAAATGAACTCTTTTAAGGACATTTTTGACAAAGTGAAACCAGAAAAGATTTTAGAATTTTTATCATGTATTAACACAAAAAATCTTATTTAATTAATGTTTTGTTTTGTTAGTTGATTTTTAAATTGTATATTTATTGTTGAAAGATTTCTGCCATGAAGATAGCCTTGGTTGCTGACATGGCACTAAAAAAAAAAAAAAATACATAAATGTCTTTAGTGGCCCTTTTGAGCATTTTAATGCATTGTTGCTGATTAAAAGTATAATTAATATGTGAATAAAATTATAAACGTACATTCAGCTTTACCAATTGCTTCATTTTGAGCCAGGTAAAATGCTATAGAGGTGGTATTCTGATGATTTGACGACATTTTACATTATTCTAATAATCCTATCAAATAAAACATGATCTTATTTAAAAAGGCTAACGTTAAATGCAGTTAAATACATGAGCAGTGCTTCATTTGCTGCCTGTCTGAATTAGTAATCGATTACTTGCCTAACACCGCATGGCTGTCATTTCTGCACAGGTGCCAATCTGAAGGGTGTGGATATGGAGGGCAGTCAGATGACGGGTATAAACCTCCGAGTGGCCACGCTGAAGAACGCCAAACTCAAAAACTGCAACCTGCGCGGAGCCACTTTGGCAGGAACCGACCTGGAGGTGATCCAATATTTCTTTATTAACCCTGTATGCTTCAAACCAACTGGAAAAAAAGAACTGGAATGACAGCATGTCCGGCTAAATCCAGTTTCCAAGTTCATGTTGAATTCATTTTTGCAGTTTGAAACCATTCACCAAAGCCAACTTTTTTGGGGAAGTTTGTTGTCATATACACTCAACGGCCACTTTATTAGGTACACCTGTCCAACTGCTTGGTTACGCAAATCAACCAACCACAAGGCAACAATTCAACTAATCTAGGCATGTAGACATGGTCAAGACGATCTGCTGCAGTTTAAATTGAGCATCAGAATCGGGAAGAAAGGTGACTTAAGTGACTTTGAGCATGGTTTGGTTGTTGCTGCCAGACGGGCTGGTCTGAGTATTTCAGAAACTGCTGATCTACTGGGATTTCCACGCACAACCATCTCTATGGTTTACAGGGAATGGTCTGATAAAGAGGAAATATCCAGTGAGCGGCAGTTCTGTGGGCGCAAATGCCTTGTTGATGCCAGAGGTCAGAGGAGAATGGCCAGACTGGTTCCAGCTGATAGAAACTCAAATAAGCACTCGTTACAACCTAGATCTGCAGAAGAGCATTTCTAAAAACACAACACGTCCAACCTTGAGGCGGATGGGCTACAGCAGCAGAAGAGCACACCGGGTGCCGCTCCTGTCAGCTAAGAACAGGAAACTGAGGCTACAATTCACACAGACTCACCAAAACTGGACAATAGAAGATTGGAGAAACGTTGCCTGCTCTGAGTCTCCATTTCTGCTGTCACATTTGGATGGTCGGGTCAGAATTTGGCATCAACAACATGAAAGCATGAATCCATCCTGCCTTGGGTTCATTAGTGCAATTGAGCATCATGTCAATGCCACAGCCTCCCTGAGTATTGTTGCTGGCCATGTCCATCCCTTTATGACCACAGCGTACCATCTTCTGATGGCTACTTCCAGCAGGATAAAGCGCCATGTCATCAAGCATGAATCATCTCTGATTTCTTGAACATGACGATGAGTTCACTGCACTCAAATGGCCTCCACAGACACCAGAGCTCAATCCAATAGAGCACCTTTGGGATGTGGTGGAACTGGAGATTCACATCAGTGATGTTGCGCCGACAAATCTGCAGCAACTGTGTGATGCTATCATGTCAACATGGAGCAAAATCACTGAGAAATATTTCCAGTAGCTTGTTGAATCTACGCCATGAAGGATTAAGGCAGTTCTGAAGGCAGTAGGGGTCCAACACAGTACTAGTAAGGTGTACCTAATAAAGTGGCCGGTGAGTGTGTTTATGCTCACAAAGCTCTGCACAAAGCACAGGGCGCTTCACAGTGGTTGTGTGTTGTTTTCGGCCGCTCCTCACTGTTGTTTCTGCAATCCTCCAGAACTGTGATCTGTCCGGCTGCGACCTCCAGGAGGCAAACCTGCGCGGCTCCAACGTGAAGGGCGCCATCTTTGAGGAGATGCTGACGCCGCTGCACATGTCGCAGAGCGTCAGATAACCTGCAGGTCCAGCTCTAATCAAACACAAACACTCTCGTATACTCTGACAGGTCAAGAACGTTTATTTTAGGGATGCACCAAATTTGCAAACACCGAAGATAAAATTTTCTGCTGATGAGTTTTCGATTTAGGAATGAAAGAAAGAAAATAAAGTGTAAATTTAGGTTTACAATGTAAATTAAGTCATTGTTAATGTTTTTTTTTTCTTTCTTTCAAGCTAAAAATATTAGTCAAATCATATTTCGGAAGCATACATGATCTTAACGTCTATAAAATCTATCAAATTATAGTCTAAAAATGTAGTATGGGTGGCTCAGTGGTTAGCACTGTTGCCTCACAGCAAGAAGGTCACTGTTTCGAGTCCCGGCTGGGCCAGTTGGCATTTCCATGTGGAGTTTGCATGTTCTCCCCGTGTTGGACTGGGTTTCCTCCGGGTGCTCTGGTTTTCCCCATCGTCTAAACACATGCGCTATAGGAGAATCGATAAGCTAAACTGCCCAGTGTACGAGTGCGTGAATGAGTGTGTATGGGTGTTTCCCAGTACAGGGTTGCAGCTGGTTGGGCATTCGCTGCGTAAAACATATAATAATTAGGTTGGCGGTTCATTCCGCTGTGGTGACCCCTGATAAATAAGGGACCAAGCCAAAGGAAAATGAATGAATAATGTAGATTAATAATTATATTATATTATAAAACATCTGAATTGGTGAAATTGTAAATTCAGAAAAATGTTGGCCTATGTTTTAAAATAGGGCGAGGCAGTGGCGCAGTAGGTAGTGCTGCCGCCTCACAGCAAAGAAGGTCGCTGGTTCGAATCTCGGTTCAGTTGGCGTTTCTGTGTGGAGTTTGCATGTTCTCCCTGCGTTCGCGTGGGTTTCCTCCGGGTGCTCCGGTTTCCTCCACAGTCCAAACACATGCGGTACATGTGGTGTGGATGTTTCCCAGAGATGGGTTGCAGCTGGAAGGGCATCCGCTGCGTAAAAACTTGCTGGATAAGTTGGCGGTTCATTCCGCTGTGGCGACCCCGGATTAATAAAGGGACTAAGCCGAAAAGCGAATGAATGAATGCATTAAAATAATAAATAATTAAAACAAAGCATTTCAGGTTGGGTTTTCACCCAAAGTGCATCTTGAAATTTCAGTTTTGGAAATGTATATTTTGGTGCATCCCTAATTTATTTTCATGCATCATGTGTTATGGAACTCAGTGCAATTTGTTTATTTCTCTTGCAGTTTTATGCATGTAAAAAGCTTCTGCATGTGTCACTGCTGGTCTGTGAATTGTGTGTGCGTGCGTGCGTATGTGTGTGTGTGTGCGTGTGTGTGTGGAAATACAGCTTTTCTGCTAATGTGCACTTTTCTACCTTTTCATATACGTGCTGATTTTTCACAGTTCTGCTGGTTTTACTGTTGCGTGGGTTTTGCTGCATGCATTAAAAAAAGATGTTTTAATGTCAGCGGCTCTGTTGGGTCCAATAAAGTCAAACACTGGAGCATTTCAGCATTTATTTGTATTTATTCCCCAAATGCAATGTGTTGTTTCAGAGCAGATGCATCTTTCAGCAGATAGGCAGCCACAGGACAACGGCGCCAGTGCTTCACCACACACCAGCTATAGGTGGAGTGGAGAGACCTTGATAGAGCCAGTTCAGTTGATGGGGATGATTGGGAGGCCACGATCGTAAGGGCCGATTGAGAGACATTGGCCAGAACACTGGGGTTTTTACAAGAAGTGCTCAGGGATTTTTCATGACCACTGTTTAACGTTACATCTGAAAGCAGGCGTCCACTGACAGTATAGTGTCCTCTTTACTTTTACTCTGGCTTTAGGACTTTAAGGACGCCCCTTGCTGGCCATTCTAACGCCACTAATAACAGCAACCTAGTTTTCCCATGTGGTCTCCCATCCAGGTACTGACCAGGCTCAGCCCTGCTTAGCTTCAGTGAGTAACTGGTCTTGGGCTGCAGGGTGATATGGCTGTGAGTGTGTGTGAATGAGTGTGCATGTTTCCCAGTGGTGGGTTGCAGCTGGAAGTGCATCCACTGTGTAAAACATATGCTGGATAAGTTGGTGGTTCATTCCACTGTGGTGACCCCAGATTAATAGAGGGACTAAACCGAAAAGAAAAATGAATGAATGAATTTGGTAATTAGCAGGCAATTTGTTATTTTTAATTACATTTTTAGTCTCTGTTGTTATTAATAATTGTATTAATTTATTATTATTTTTTACATTTATTTAACTATACTTTTTATTTTTGCATTTTGTTTTATTTTGCAACTTTTGTCAGTTTATTATTATTATTTTCTATTTGTTTCAATAATTTTTTTTTTTCAGCTTAGTCCCTTTATTAATCAGGCGTCACCACAGTGGAATGAACCGCCAACTTATCCAGCATATGTTTTACCCAGTGGATGCCCTTCCAGCTGTAACCCATCACTGGGAAACACCCATACACTCTTGCACACACATACAGTTGAAGTCAAAATTATGAGCTCCCCTTTGAATTTTTAAAAAATATTTCCCAAATGATGTTTAATAGAGCAATGAAATTTTCACAGTCTTATTTGTTTTATTTCGGCTAGAATAAAAGCATTTTATTATTTTTTATACACCATTTTAAGGTCAAAATTATTTGCCCCTTTAAGCTATTTTTTTGAGAGGGTGCTCGCTGCAGAGCCATTTGAGGAGAGCTGAGCTCCAGCGAGGGGGAGCATGAGCTGTCGCTCCTCCTCCTGTAAGCTGTTTTAATGCGTACACCAACCCCACCCCTAACCCTACCCCCAGTGACATCACTCGTAAAAGAAGTGCAAAAAAGGAGGAACTCAAGCTCAATCTCCCCCTCGCTGGAGCTCAGCTCTCCTCAAATGGCTCTGCAGCGAGCACCACTTGCTTTTTTTTCCGATAGTCCAGTACAGAACAAACCATCGTTAAACAATAACTTGCCTAATTACCCTAACCTGCCTAGTTACCCTATGTAACCTAATTAACCTTTGAATGTCACTTTAAGCTGAATACTAGTTTCTTGAATATCTAGTCAAATAATATTTACTGTCATCATGGCAAAGATAAAAGAAATCAGTTATTAGAGATGAGTTATTAAAACTATTATGTTTAGAAATGTGTTGAAAAAAAATCTCTCCATTAAACAGAAATTGGGGAAAAAATAAAAAGGGGGCGAATAATTCTGACTTCAACTGTACAATATGGCCAATTTAGCCCATTCAATTCCCCTATTGCACATGTTTTAACTGTGGGGAAAACCGGAGCACCCGGAGGAAACTCACTCCAACACGGGGAGAACATGCAAACTCTACACAGAAATGCCAACTGACCCAGCCGAGGCTTGAACCATCGACCTTCTTGCTGTGAGGCAATCATGCTACCCACTGCACTACTCTGACTGTGACTATCACTGTTATTATTATTAATTGTATTTATTTGTTTATTTTTCTTTACATATTTGTCATTTATTATTATCTGATTGCTTATTTGTTAGTAGTATTATCATTATTATTAACCATTTTTTTCAATTTTTTTATCATTATTATTATTGATTTTGAATTTCTGAACTTTAATCAGTTGATTATTAATTATTTGTTTAATTTTATTTTACGTTTTTAGTCACCGATTATTATGATTAATTATTTATTACATTTTCTTTTACATTTTTACTCTGTTATTATTAATTGTATAATTTTTTTTACATTTTGTCACTTTTTAAATTTATTATTATTATTATCGTTATTTATTTTAATTTACAACTCTAATCAGTTTATTATTATTCATTTGTTTAATTTTATTTTACGTTTTTAGTCACTGATTATTATGATTATTTCTTTTTCTTTTACAATTTTACTTTGCTATTATTGTATTTTTTTCATTTTGTCAATATTATTATTATTATTATTAAATATTTTAATTTACAGTTTCATTTTAATTATTATTAACTTGATTTATTTCTTTTTCTTTACATATTTCACATATTATTATTTATTTATTTGATCTTACAATTTCAGTTTTATTATTATTGTTATTAGTAGTATAATAATCACCATTATTATTATTTTTTCCTTTTTTTTCTTCTCTTCTTTTGCACATTGGCTTAATCAATGCAGTGTATCTGGATTTATTTTAGCATTTCTAGTAAAGTTTTTTTCATTTTCACTAATGAAGAAAAAAACATGTATAGTCATGAATTGGCCAGCAGAGGCAGCAGCGTCTCTGAAATGCACAAACACACACAGCTCGCAGATGCCAAGTATTTTAGCAGCTCCTCACCCCAGCAGAAATCTGTTAACCAGGGTGAAAACAACTGCCAGAGAAAAACACAGCAGCACAGATATGAGCTCTGCTGGATAAAGACTACTTCTGTAGGGTAAAAACATTTTTTGCACTTGTCCAACAGTGACGGGTGCTTATTTTTTATTTAGTTATGTTTTAAAATATCTATCATATAAATACAAACTTATTTGATCTTTACTCATGTTGAAATCTCATCTGTGGCAATATGTGCAAATTACATGTATATGACGTACAATTTCTGGCTTGGATTTCACAGATATGATAACATATATATGTGTATATCTGTGTGAATATGTATTCAATTCACCTTTATTTCTATAGCGCTTTTAGATTGTGTCAAAGCAGCTATACATAGAAGATTATAGTGAATTGAAACAGTGTAGTTAAATTTTCAGAGTTTAAGTTCCCTTCAGTGTGGTTTAGAACAAACAATGAGAGAGAGCAGATAAGGAGAAAAGCCAGAGCAAACATCAGAGCTTTGAATTTGATGCGAGCAGCAACTGGCAGCCAGTGCAAACAGATGAGCAGCGGAGTGACATGTGCTCGTTTAGGTTCATTGAAGACCACTCGTGCTGCTGCGTTCTGAAGCAGCTGAAGAGGTTTGATAGAATTAGCTGGAAGCCCGGCTAGTAGAGTTGCAATAGTCCAGTCTGGAGAGAACAATTTATAAATTTGCTGTAGTTCCAATAAATACATACATTTTTTTACATTATTGTAAATTTGGGATGCAACAATTAATCAATTTCAATCAACCATGTTTTAGTTTGTCAGGGTTAATTAATCGTGAAAGCTTCTCAACACCATGTTTCTGCATGAAACAAAACTGCTGCAACTTAAAGTGATGCCAACTGAGTGCTAGTTTTTAAGTTCCGAGCTTGTACTTTACACCATGCAAACTGGGTTAACTATGGCTGAGGCTATTAACTGAGGGCCAGCAAGTTCGGTATTTCCAATGGAGGCGCGTGGCTTGCATATATGGAGCGACGGACTCGTGCTTTCCAGACGCACCTACTAGTTAAAAAAGAATGC